ATGCTCGTTGTAATGGAGCCTACCCAGGAAAGATCCATGACTCCATGATCTGCGCAGGCCTGGACCAGGGAGGAATAGATTCCTGTCAGGGGGATAGTGGGGGACCGATGGTCTGTGAGACTGGAGGAAGGTTCTATCTGCATGGCGCCACCAGCTGGGGTTATGGATGTGCCAGCCCTGGAAAGTTTGGCGTCTACGCGAAAGTGAAGTACGAGTTGAACTGGCTTAACTCTGAAATGTCCAAAAACTAGTAAAACCGACAACAGCCCTATGGGGATATTTAATATTTAAAAAGATTAATAAGAGGGTTTAATTTGGGAAATATTACTCACGCAGGAAATATCATAGATATTGTAGACTGATGGGTCAATAAAAGCAATGGAAAGAAATACTGAGTATTTATTGACCTAAATACATGGTAATATTCCTTTTAAGAAAAGAAACCTCAAGTTCAAAAACATGCTCGCAAAGAAGGTGCACTAAGAAATCAAAGAGCCTATATCGTGATTTTTCGCTTGAAAATTTCGCGGTAAATTGGCCCTTCTGTTTATGCACTGGAATCTTAGCTATAACTTTAAGTTCTCGTTAATCAGCCGAAGGTGAGAAAACTTAGATGTTAATAGTTTACCGCTCCCAGAGTTTAAGAGCAAGATGTTGTGAGACCAAACAGAGATCATGTCTTTTTCTGTGTGGAGTCTTCAAGTAAACAGTTGCCTACAATTGCAATTTGCATAAACGGCAACAAAATAAAAGAGGTCCAGCGGATTTTGACTCACCTTGAAGTCCATTCAACAGTTTTAACGTTGTTTTAAACCGGTTATGCTAAAGTAGAGTTTATCTTTGGAAAAATCCGATTTCAAACTGGGCCCTTTTGTTGGTTGCCATTTTCTTTATAACAAAAGCTAATCTGTTTTAGTGAGTAATGGTCAAATTAGGGGTTTATTTGAAAATCACCGGGAACTAGTACTCCTCTAGCAACATGTGGCTGGTAGAACACTCTTAAAATCCCCCAACATTCGGCAAACTGTAGGATTCATGGCAAAGAACGCTTTGTCGATTACGCGTAAAAACTCCCTAATTGAGGGAATCAGATTTATCGGAGCTATCTCTACTTTTGCTTCCCTCTTATTTGACCTCATTGTTTTTTCCCCATTTCATTTCCTTTTTTTAACCTTTTACTCCAACAACAAGTGGTTTCTAAAAGTTTTTCAATTGAATACTTTAACGAAGGTGTTTGTGAGCACTTTACTCGCATTGAATAAACACAATAACCTGTAAGTTTCTGATGAAGCGCCTCACCTTTTTTTATACCTTCCTATAATATAAAGTTTATGTCAAAGATACCCTGCAAGACGGTCGCTGATGAAAATTAATTATACAAGTCCTTTCCCTTCAGCAAATTTTGTTCCCAAATTTTGACTGATATATATATTTTTTTCGCATTGAAATTAAGTGCTCAATCTTAAAAGCTCAGTAGATAGCTGATGATCCATTAAGCGTAAACAACAGAATTTACTGATTGGCCGATTGATATCTGATCAGATTATTTATCTGAAGCCTAAAATTGCCTCTTGGGAAATTCCGTAGGACGCCATTTATACATTGTTTATGGCATGCAAATATAAGGCCATGCATAATTAATAACTTTTGTCCTAAAATTATGCAAAGCACCCAATGGCAACATTTTTCTCGTTTCTGTAGCATGGTTTGAGGATATTCCGTCTTTTGCACAGCTTTCTTTGGGTCTTTACTATAGTGAATTGTAGGATACCTTTATAACCAGAAGTAACGAGTGTAAAGAGTTCTCTAAAAAAGGTAAGATATGCTTCTTGTTGAATGAGGACGGGTTGAATTCGATACCCGCTTTCAGGTGGCAGATTTGATCATATGATAACTTTTATTCGCAATTCTACTCGATTGTGAAGCTGAAGATTTAAGGGGAATTTCTGCATTCCTTTATTTTGATACTCTGATGCTGGTGTTTTACAAAAAAAATATATGGTCAAAACATTTTCGAATGGTTTCACCAGCAAAAAGGCGATTAGTATAAAGCGATATTCTGAAGAGATTCCTTTTCATCCTAAATATAATTCCAGTCTGACGGGAATATTCCTTGAATTGACACTTCGCAAAGTAGCTTATGTCATTTTCTTATGGCGCGAACCGCTGACCAAATAATGGCTTGCAGACTCTAAAATTACTTCGGATTTGATATTTATGCCATTGTCGCAGGCAGCTCGCCTTAGTATAAATTTGATGCAGTTTCTGTTTCATGAGTTTGGATGTAAGTCAAGCATAGTACATTATATCTGTACGTACTGGTTTATCGGTAAAGTACATCAATATGCAAAATGTTTCCAACTAATGTTTGAGTATTTAGCTTCTCAGGAGAGAAAATTTCAATTTCATTCACTATCAATTTTCGTATAAATGGCTTCCTTTGACCCCTTTTAAAAATGAGTGCACGCGTAGATAATTTGACGTGGTCAAATCAAAGCGCTTTTTTGCTACAAATCATCGATATCACCAGGTACGTAGGATGAGGTCATATTTGAACGTGACCACATAAAATTGGAAACGAACATTTTAGGTAATATAGCCTAAGAGCGATTGAGATCAAAGTGCAAATTGAATAACCAAAATTATTGTTGCATAGGCAAAGGAAAATTGTTTTTGCTTACTCAAGGAAAAAATGTGTGCTTTTGATGTAAGTACTTAGTTTTTCCCTATCGAGTTGCAGTCTAGATCATATCACCTTAGGGCTAATTGCACTTTTCTAGATGTGTTAAACAGTTGGTTTGTTGTATTATCTCTTTGAGTTAGCATCAAAAACAAGTCAAAATTTAAGAACACATCTAAAGCGAACTTATCAATTTTTGTTGTCACTTTGCGTCCGTTCGACAACTTAATTGAATGTTTTGATTTCCTCTCAAAACTGAACGAAGTCTGTTATTCCGGTTGTTCAGAGCAGGAACAACGAACCGCAAGAAAAAAAAAATGAACAACGAGAACCGAGCTGTCGCGGTCACACTATTTCAATAGTATTCAAAAAGTCCATTTAAATATCTACATTACATTACTAGCTGTTAACAGCGTACGTTGAATGCGCTTTGAAAAGTACTACTCGAAAAGAGTATGAAGAGATTGAGTATTCTATGAAAATCACGCGCAATTACGGCCGTAGTTTTAGCATATACATCAGTGCCCCAACTCAAATTTCGTCACGAAAAATAAGAACTCCTGAATTCTGACATCTTTTCACCGTTATTAAGGTCAAGATGTAAAATTTTAACAAACAATTTACGGTTAAATTCAACAGTTTTCTTTTGGCATTTAGGTAGTTATGCTAGACTATATTTAACCTTATGACGTCAAAATAAATTAGTTTATTTAGGCCCACGTAAAACATGGTTCGATTTGAATTTGTTTTGTGAACACTTATGCAGTGGCGTATTTTTTGAATGGAAAGTGGGTGAATTGCGTAGGAAATTATTTTTTTTTGTAAGTCTTTGATAAAATTGAGCAAAATTCATTTCAAGTTGTAGGAAGAAAAGACGCAATCAGGGATTGAAATAGCCTATGTCTGGCAAAAGTTGAATGCCAGTTTCGATTTGAACCGATGCAAGCCTTTTGTTTATAGCTCTTTGTTAAGTAATATCTGACAGGAGCTTTCGTTAGTTTGAATATCTCTTTCACTCAAAGCTAATGAGATTTTTTTTCCAGTTTTTGGTCAGATCTGATATTTCTATGTCAAATCTAAAGTTGTCTGTCATGATTTATTTTGGCATTTAGCATTATACTCTCCTTTACAATCCCTAGGCGCGAGGACAATTTATGTAACACCAAAGCCTCAAATATAAAAATTTTACGTTTTTATATAAGCGTAGTGAATCGTCAAAAATAGGTTTTTTCTTCCGCTACAAAACAAGAAATCGTGCAGTAATTATAAATGTAAAGAAAAAAAAAGAAAAAATAACCTCGACTTAGGCAAAACTCATCACCTTTAATGGCCGCGAAATTTGACTCGGCGTTACTTAAATACAATATTTGAAAGGCATATTAGGCTAAAACCTTTTTTGTATTATTTCCATGTTATCCCTTTGAATTTTGATTTCATCTCTCGAGAGTCCTCAGCGAAATAACATTAATTAACAATATCTCGCAGCAGGCAAGGCCTTTGTAATCAAAAAACGTATTTGAACAATCCGACACAATACGAAACCGCAAATTGAAAATGTGAATAAAACTCTCGTTGCAGGACGAGAAATGCTAATGTACTAACTAAAAGAATGGATTATTTCCTCAATAGAAGAGAGCACAAAATAATTGCGTGGGCATCAAGGCTTAAAGTCTCAATTTTAGCCGGCGAATGTGCGTGGAAGAGGTCTTCGCGCGAGAAGCTTTAATTCATCTTATGATTTTCTATTGCTGCGAGAGCACGATCCTTAGAGCAGAGGATAATGTTATGCATCTGAAGATTTTGTTGACTAATTTGCATAAGGCTTGGTTTGGTTCACCTGTCGCCCTGTCGCTCATCGATTTGTCTAAAGATCAAAGCGAAATTTAATCGCGCTCGGCTAAATTCGACGCATCAACAACATCGTGAAGTTTTGAAAACCTTACAAATTCCGCATACTGCTCAGGTACGATTTTTCTTCATGTACAGGATACATTAATCGATATTTCTTCTTTTTTAGACATGAGATCCAATATGTTTATCCCGGTTTGAAAAATACTACGTCGCTTCATGACTGTTTTGGTTGCCTTGAATTTGTAATTTGACAACTTTAAAAAATTTTGCCGACCTCGCCGATCTTTCTCTTGGAAATATCTCCCTTGCTTTCGATTCTTTCCTCTGGGCAACCCAAATGGTTTTGTATTCAATAAGCTCAAGGTGTTTTCAAGGGAATTCAAAGACAAGTGAAACCAAAACAATTGCAAATCTATTTGTGATGGATTCAGCAAAAAATAGAAAATTCAGTTACAAGAAGAAAAACGAGGGATATTAGAAATACCATAAGTTTTTTCTTATTGTTGTAACTTACAAAGAACCGTTCATGTCTAGATCTTTCAGGTTTCCGTCCAGTTGACAGCCGGAAATGTAAGCGAGCACCGAAGACGGTCCAAACCCGAATAATTTGTTTTCGATGCACACGAAACGAAAACATCATGGAGACAAAATGCAGAAGACAAATCTGCTTTCGTAAAAGCTGAATTAGCTACTTCTCTAATGAATGCTGCAACAGTGGTAAGTAAAGAACACATTTTGTTCTATGTTACAGTAGTTTCCATTCAGGGATTAATGGCTTCGGAATACGTCAAGCTTCATTCTTATTCCCACTTAAACTGCAGTAATATTTATAAAGCTAATGCGAAAGGAGTATCAATTTTTAGACTTAACGCGGTATTTCTTTCAATGATCAAGTCTTGTCAGGTTTTTTGTCTCACAGTTGGCTCGTCGTATTGCTACAGCAAGATGAAATTTTATCAGGCGGAAAAATACGATTTTTGTAAATTTACCACGAGTCCATTTGCAAACGAAGCTTTGAAGCATTTTACAAGACTGAACTTTTCGGAAATCCATTAATACCTTTGTTTGAATTAAAAAAGGGCAAAACTTATGTCCCAGATGAAATACTCCTACTGATTTAGTTCGTAAAAATAGCTGAATTAGCCATATTTATGCAATTTAATGCGAGACGTTTTTTTTCAAATAGGTGTCGATTATATACTTACCTGGAAAGATGCAACTTAAAACAAATTGAAATATATGACCGTATTTTTATTCAAAATTATCTCCCTGGTAATTCTAAACTAGTTGCACTCATGCAAATTGTATAAAGTGAGGAAAAAATACGCTTCACGATAAAAGCTAAACGATCCGCTGACTCAGAAATCAAACTTTGAACGCAATCGAACTTTTTGCACCTCTCCGAACCCGTTAGGAACTATAAACACTGATTTGTCCTTGCGCTGGTGGATCGATTCATAATCCTTGCATTTATACTCTACATATGTTTTCCATGTCCGTTGAAATGCTACGATTTATCGAATAATTTTCTGAATAATTTCTTTATTAAAGTTGCATGTTTAAAAACGGGCCACCGTTCTGAGCTGATTAGCCCCTGTGGAGAATAAATATTTCTCGCGAATTATCAGCGCTTTTCTTTTCTATTTACGCGTGTTTTACCACTTGTAGAGAAACGCTTTGACACCTAATGCCTCGGATGTACCGGATTTGAACACGAAATATGCGCGTAATCTCATTTGAGCATTCCCGCGGTGATTTTTCCACAAGAATATCTCCTGGTCAGATCTAATGTTTGCTTCGTGAGCTATGTACGTCATCTACCAAGATCTGAGGCTTCAAACATAAAAAGGTGTTTCGTTCTCACTCTGATAATTGATTGTTCTTTCAAACTCTACATTAACCTCGAAACCTCGAATTAGCCGACTCAGTTTTGGTGTCATGCAACGATATTTCAAGTGGAATAGACATCGATAATTAGTAAACACTGAATATATGAAATCGTCTTTTTGTCTTTCTGAATGACTGATTACGCTAACTTTCCAGAAACTTAACTGATATCCATTAGAACTTTGTACATTATTAAGAAAACATACGCAAAAACGGCTCTTCTTCTGCATTTCATTCTTTGGTTTTTCCCTTTGCCTCAGTGTAGCTTTGAAGACTGTGATCACATATTTCACCATTTTCGCTATCATTTCACCAATTTACATTTGCAATGATTCTTTGAACTATTCGACATTTTAAGCGATTCTGAATTCAATTTTGTCTACAAAATCCCTTTTGTCTCACATATAAGTTCGTAAATTGAAGAAATCTCACCTTGGTATAGGTGTCGAAAGTATAGCGCGATAAACGTGTCAGTCTGTTGGAGGAGAATTGTTTGCCAAATTCAGTTTTCAGACATGGTACGATCCTTAATCCCCTAAACGCAAGTGGAGCATGAGATAGCTTTTATCCTTGACTCTACCAACGCTCTCTACTATTCAGGAGTTTCTTTTGGAAGAAAACAGCCGATTCAGAAAATCTTTTTTTGATTCGTTTTAAAATAATTTTATGGTCACACCAAGAATTGCAAAAGGAGATCTCTAAAAATCATAATCACAAGATGTCGGTAAGTTGATATTCCCGCTTTGTGGTCTTCATATAATGGTAGGAAATGCTAAATGAAGGTCATCATCCCATATTGTCCAAGAAAAAACGCTCAAGGGAAAATGATGAATATTGGCACTCTGTAGGAAGCTCGGAAGGAATCCGAGAAGTAATGCATTGCTCTTGCGTCAATCCGCGCTTTGATTGGTCAAAAATAGTCATGCTACTCTTTTAACCAACAGCATGGCAAGCTCATTGAGACTTCCTTACGCGAGCTTTCCCGCGCTTTAGATTGTTCAGTATTTTTACTTTGAGTACCGTTGAGACACTGGTAACGGCTGCCTGTAATTTCCACCATCATTATGATTGGCTGCAATGATTACGCGGGTTTACAGATGCAAAATTATCAAACACTGATATTCTATGAACCAGACTCAAATCAGCTGAACGCTGTCATCAGCCTGATTAAAGAAAATGGTCCAAAACACTTACACAACCGTTAGCTTCACCACTGACAGAACTCACAGATGAAAGGGAGAAAACTTAGATCAAGTTGTGCTCTCCGTGCGTCAATGAAACTTTTGGTCGCGTAATTATCGATGAAAGATGCTAGTAGTGAACAAAGTCGAAGTTCACTTAACAGATATTTCCGTCTGCAGAGAACTCTGTTTAAACTCACGCCTGATAAATACTTTCTATATAAACATAATAAACGGGGAGCATCGACCGTGAAAACGTTATTGGCTTGCTAAGAACATCAATTTTGGAAAGCCTCAACTGAATTACACATATTGTGAATTGAGAACGGCCTGCTTCTACCCACTCCTCTTCCTTCCCCCTTTTAATCCAGTCCTTGATAATTTTTATTACCTCCTTTAATGTTTCTGAGGATAGGCAATCATAAACATTATCGTGCATACTTCATGTATATTTAATCTCTCGAGCAAAAAGTACTAATTTTGGTAGCTGTAGTTTTGAACACTCATATTACTCATCGAGACCCTCAGATCCAACCACTGTGCTTGTTACGCAATTGAAATAAAATCCACTTTGTAATTTGAGTCGTAATGTTTGTGATCACCGTTATGTGACGAAGGTATTTGGATGAATAATGACTTCAAAAGCCTTCTTCATTTTGGAAACTGGGCTGGTTTCATCTCTGAGCATGACACACTGATGAGGTCCAGCAGTTTGTCTCTGTCATAGAATTATTGCAGAGCGTGCTTGCAATCCTAACTCTTCGGTCGTTTGTTGTGTCGATTTCAGCTAAAAATTCTGTTTAATTTCTTATCATTGTGCTTACTAATTTGAAACAATTATTAACGCTTTCATAACTTGAATGTCTGCTTATTAAACCATGTCTCTCTAGCTCTCTTGTAAGTTAATAAATTGTGTTAATAATGCTTTGCTTTATTATTCTTATTAACGTCTTCGATTCAAAACGTAACATGGAATTTTTCTTCTCTAACTCTGGCTCCACTTCAGGCGGGAAGACGGGCAGACGACAAGGCCGAGGAGACAGGCGTTTTGGTACTCTACTTCTTCTTATCTTGTTCTTTTTGTACTATTGTTTCCATTTTCCTTTCTTTGTCTCACTGCATGACATATGCATGCCTGCATGGTATATCCTCTTATAGAGCACATTGCCACTGTACTGTTGAACAGTGGATGTAGTGTTCACTAAAACCACTTTTAATACTCTTGCCTTTGCACGAGGCACAAACATGCATCTGTTTAAAAAAAGCTGTTAATCTCTTAATAGAAATACCACGAGGTTAGTTACTTAACTTAATTGCACTCCACGCATAAGATGTATTTGCATACAGAAACTCTTTAGTATAATTTTACTTTAAGTTCTCGATATGACGACAAAGATCGGGCGAGCTTTCCTTCACCTCAAAAGAAAAAAAAACAAAAAAGGCCCATAAAATCGCGAAAATGAGCAAAGTGTAGGCAAATTGTCACATAGCCATCCATTTACTATATTAGCAAACTTCCTTTCCTTTCAGGCTTCATTTGAAATTCTTTTTGTCCTCTTCAAACAGCATTTTGATCTCCTTCAAAATGAAGAGTTTCTGACCGATTTTTTAGAATTTGCTGTATAGAGACCATAAGCCTTGACGCAAAGGTGCACTGATAAAATCAGCTTGACTGATTTCAACAACAGGAGTCTAAACTTTTCACAAAAACATGTTCGTTGAAAGGAACCTATGAGTCTGATCACGTTTGGGAGAATTTTTGCTAGAAGCGAGGAAAACATGAGAAATTCCTAATTTACTTTAAATAGAACTAAGCATCGTCTAATTCGATCAAGTTCGGTAGATTTTCTTCACAAAATCAATATTAAATTGCTAGATAGATTGCTTGGTTAAATAATTATAGGAGCAACTCAACATTGTAAACTAAACAAACCAAACCTTTAGCAGAGAAACCTAACATAAAGAAAGTTTTGTATCTCTTTTATTATGCACCTTTGCGTTACAAGGCGAAAATCGGTAGAGAACGACTCTGCTCAAAATAAGCTTTGGGAAATTCACTGAGCTGTCCAACAACTTTTTTTCACCACCTGCACGAGGAAGTAGCTGGTATACGCGTTGTTTGTCAATGAAGCTTCTAGTCTCCCTTTTTTCATTTTTTTTTCCCCCGGCTTATGTTGGTTCGCGGTGAGGTTTTAGAACATTAACGAATGGATATCCCTACTTTAATTGTAATTATTGATTTCGTCTTCCGTTCGTTGTGTTTACATGTGGTTTGTTGAAGATATTCAATTGTATTGTCTGTCATATTGTTCTCATAAATGTAAGCGGTAATATTTGCATGTTAATCTTCTGAACGGAAGTTACAAGCTCATTCACCACTATGATTTTATTAACTCGTGCCACATCACAGTAGATAACTGAAAGGCTGACGATGCCCAACTGTACGAGTCGAAACGTGTTCAAGACGTTAGTTACTACATGTGATTTTGTTTCGTTTCAGATCGGTGAGGGTGACAAGTTGATCAATGTGGTTTTGCTCAATGGAGAGAGGCTTAACGTTAGAGTACAGGTAAAACTCTTTCATTTCAACCGAAGCTTTCTTAGTTTTTAATTCGATCGCGTCATGATAAAGAAACTTCTTAAGCATAGCAGAAAATGGTACACTGACGATTTTGCCATTTATCTACTTGAACATTTTAGTCAACAGAACTCGAAAAAAGTACGGGGGTTTAATGTGCCGAAATATTTTTTTAAAATAAGGCAAAATGGTGACAATTTTTTATGAGGTACGAAGGCGTTGTGAAGGGTCAAAGTTATCTTTCGCCTTCAACTTTAGCTCAGTTTATATTTGAGGCTTCTATTTCAGCTCCTTTGTTTTCTTCTTCGTAGACATGAATTTTTGGTTAATTTATGTCAGGAAATACCAGAGCTTCCATCTAACGTTCAAGAAATTGGCTTTACTTTAGGGGGAATAAAAGAACGTGATAGCAATTGCTGTTAAAATATTAATATTTCAGTAAGTGGTTTCTTTTTGTTAGAACACCTGCAAAAAGGATGAGACGTTTTAGTTGAAAAGTTTCTTGACCCCTTTTACTGGTCGCGATTTATTTAATGCTTTTCCGATCATTTGATTCACAAAACAATATCGGCCACAAAATTGCAATCCTGAACGATATAAAGATCAAAAACAGCTAACCAAGCAACCTTAATCAACCACAGGCATCTGCTAGTGGACAAGATTTATATACCATCATCACGGATCATCTTGGGCTCACAGAAACCATTTTCTTTGGACTAATGATCATAAAAGGTAATTAAAATGAAGGTAAATTTTATTTCGCGATCTCTGGGCTGCAATGTGTGGATCGGAAATTAATGATGAGCAAGAGTGTGTAATTTCGGAGAATTTTCAGAAGTTACTGTCGATGAAGCTGATACTATAGACATATCCAGCGCGGGAGTAAATTGAAGCCCTGTTTGATTTTCAACTTCAAGTTAAATTGGAAGTCAATTCTTCTTGACGACTTTTGAGTTTAAACATTCGTGCAGATTTCCGCTACTCTCTTCTCAGTTTAAAATTTCCATATTAGTCAGTTGTTCTCTTCATCAAAGGACATTTCATTTTTACCTTGTCCTCGAATCATGCGCTTAAAAATCATTAGCTATTTCATCCTTAGTCTACAGAGATCTAATTTAAGGCTGGTTTCTCTGCCGTAAATCTACTTAGTTTGAGTAAATGCTTATATTTACAGATGGAGAGCACGAGTTCTTAGACTTGAATGAGAAACTTTCAAAGTTGGCAAAGTTTGCTCCTCATCTATGGAAAGACGATGTAAGTTGTTTACTGAGACAAATGATCTTCTACTGTTCGTTACCTGATACAAGGTTGTCGTCATTATTGCTTAATGGGTTAATTAGGTTTCTTCACAATATCCATATTAAGTGAGCGATAAAATGCATTTTTTGAGCAATGCATAAATATCTTAATTTCAGGTTTCTTGCAATTCCTCCCTTGTTTTCACCATCTTCTTCCGTGTCAAGTATTACGTGGAGAACATTTGCCTTCTTCAGTAAGTGTTACTTTAAAGTTTTGGTCGGGGTCTCTTAGCCGGGAAATATCTATGTTCATTAGTTTAAACGATCACATTAAAATTTTATAAAGTTTAACAAACAACCACCGTCAATAATTGTCTCTCCCGGAAAACTCTCCTAGACAACAGTCTACCAGACACTTGTACTACCTGCAGCTGCGAAAAGATGTCCTGGAAGGAGGAATTTACGTTCACGAAGAAACTGCTATGCTATTAGCTTCGTATGCTCTCCAAGCAGAAGTAGGAGATTATAACCAGACCGTTCATGGCTCGGATTACTTCGTTCCAGAGCATTATCTTCCTCAGAGAGTAAGCTTTAACTTAAACCAGATGGCCACCTTTTTACTAAGACATAGACATCGGAGATGTCCAGACACCAGGAGCCAAATGTTAGGAAAGATACATTGCGTGTTCCTAATGTTTCTCGTTAGATTTGTAAACATTCTATTTACACATTTTCTGTTAGAAGCTGTACGCCGTCCTAAATTGGTATCGACATATGTGAGACAGACTGACTGCCTACCCCCTGTGAATATAGATATCGCACTTTGGTGGCCAACACTCTCTGTAATGTGGTCCGGACGGTGAACAAAGCTTTCCGGTGTTGTCATTGTTGATGTTGTTGTTATTACTGTTGTTTTCGTTACCTTGTCTGTCAGTCGCGTCTGTTTTATTTGTGAGGGGAAAATCCTTTTTCAAGTACGTGTTTCACTAAGCAAGAAAAGAAAGATGTATCATGGACCAACAGACATAACAGGAATGAAGCGAAGTTGAATTTCCTTCACTTGCAGTTGAATAATAGCCCTTTTTTCTTCGTTTATTTGAAGGCAATCGCCAAACTTACTGCTTCCTACATAAAGAAGCATCTTCCAGCGATGCATAAGACTCACACTGGTCTCAGTGATGCTCAGGCCGAAATAGAGTATTTAAAGGTTAGTAGACCAGTAAACAACCTCTTTGTCTCTGTGTGTAACTCTCACGGCTTGGACGTGCCTTAGAGATCATTGCCGTTATGTAGAGGTTAAGATAAAACTAAATGTAAAGAACATCAACGAAAACAAAAAGGTAGCCTTTTTGGGCTTTTTGGGCCGTCCTAGAATGGTGCTATGGTCTTCAGTAAAAGGGTTGAAGTTTTGGTTGTGTGCCAACGTGACGAAAGGGAAGCCAGCATACAGGGTGAAGATTTACATCTTTTCACCTCTGTTAATCAAGTCTCCTCCACTCCTTATTGTAGCCCTCTGATAATTCCCTAAAACTGTTTCCGCAGGAGGCACAAAAGTTACAGGAGTATGGAATTATATTCAACAAGGTGTCAAAGGTAAGGCCAACCGAATGCGTTTGAGTGGCAATTTAGACAAAACAGAGTTTCAAAATTGAGTAACGAACATGAGAAGATTACCAGGGGATCATGAAACAAAACGTGGAAATGTTATCTTTGCAGTTTAAAAAAGACAAGAGGGGCGGTTTTAGCTTAGGCATCAGTGTCAGAGGCCTCATTGTGTACGAGGTAAGTAGTCTCCAGTGATTTTATTCTAGCCCTTTTGGACCTGTTCAGCGCGCCGTGACACTCGATTAGTTCTTATTTTTTTCACAAGCTATAGAGTCTTTTCTTTGAACGTCAACTTTTAATAGCGAACTAGTTGCAGCTTGACAGCCTTGAGACAGTTGTGCTGACAAAAATTATTCATATAACTTTAATGATGATTCACTGCGTCGAAAGCGCGATTTATTCGGAAAAAACAATGCTCCAGTTTTAGAAATACTGTTCTCCGCTTAAAAGACTATTGGTAGCAAAAACTTGTGCGTTGGTCCCTGAGATCCCAATCTTCCCCGTTTCCGGCCTCACAACAACCAACGATCCTCCGAGGTTAGCTGATTCTCCTTCTAAAGTCCCCAAGATAACGATTGTCCCTCCTTTCCCAACAACCAACACCCAAAAAATATGACAGCCACTTCAAGTTTGTAAATCAACCAAGTCTAATGTGCAGTAATGTTTGTTTTCTAGGAAAGAGGAGTCGTAAAAAGTCCGACATTTCGTCATCCGTGGCAAAACATCAAGCGGATGGCCTTTCATGTTAGTATTCATGCTATTTTTTATTAATTTGGTCGCTGGACTCTCAAATACAACAACAGTAGGTGTTATTAGCCTTCTGGAAGCTCCTGTTATCAAGATGGTTACATTTGTCCATAGAACTCTACTGATTTCCCATCCTCTCTTTGTCTTCGTAGCGGCGACGATTTTTCATTGAGGCACACGGTGATCCAGAAACCTCTAAAATGGTTTTGTACACATGCAGTTATAAGAAGTAAGTTTAGAATGTGTGCAAAAAATTTTTTTTCAAAATGTTCAAAAACCTTTTGTCTTTATAAGCTATTTATTATAAGTAGATCTTAATCTAGCAGCGGTCATTTTGATGCCCCAGAATGAGAAACTTTTTTTCTTGTCCGTCAAACTTCGCAGCGAGAAGCAAGAATGTATCTTTTACTCAGAAAACTCAAAATTTTAGCCACCTAATAAACGTCTATCATTGACACAAGTGGGACGCTAAAATTGTCTATATTGATTTATTGGCGCTTGGATGATCAAAGAGACTTCGGATGGGAAGTTTTGGTGTGTCTCTCTACTGCCATGGTAATTCTTTAAAATTAAATTTTTTTCAAAACATTCTGATCATGTTATCCTTAATAATCAACTAAAAGAGCGATTTTTGTTATATTTTCGTTAAACTACGAAAGTATAAATGAAATCTATTATAACTGAGACCCTCCGACGACATTGATCTTTAAAGCGAGATTGTAAGTAAAGTCATTGGGCTTTAACAATGATTGCAAGCATGCCTCCTGGGAATCATTTGGGCTCTAGACATGAAGCGAAGGGAAGAGGGGGGCAAATTAATTTTCGAAGCCTTGTCGAAGGCTCAGTTTCTCAGGCTTTACTTTGTACGCTACATTTCAACGCTATCTACGTGTGAAGAATTAATTCGTCACTTAAGTCAAATCTTTAAAAATTCTGACCGACATATTGATTCATTACGTTCCATTATCGAGGCAATGGCAACTAAATCGCATAAGTAGTTAATTCCTTAAAAAAGATGACAAAGAAGTTAGCATGACTAAGGCGTCCTCGTTTCAAATCACAAAAGTTGTGTTTCACACTTTTCCTCATTGATGTGAATTTCCCAATTGTCAAAAGGTTACCGTGGGAGACGAAAAATACAAAATTGTTCCCAGTCTCAAAGATTTTCCAAGGCAACAGATGACATACTGTCAATTCGGTTGCTTGCGCAATTGATCAATGGTTCCACTGCACGTACAAAGCATGATTCTCGCGGGCAGGGAAATTCTCCCCCTCCTGATGTGCTTTATACTCTGGTGAGGTGAATGGCAAAGATAAACAAGTTTTCATAAATTACTGAGAATAATCTAACAAACATATTTGCTAAAGAAAGCAAATTTTAGCCAACAAAGTAACTTACAATATAATTTGCATGTATATAGCGAGCTTAGTTTGATGTATTGCAATATTTCAATGAAATTCCGACTCTAATGGGCGTCTTTTCCGGTTAAAGGTCCCGTTATTTGCTGAAAATGTGTACATCTTTCTATAAATTCCAAATGATGATGGGAATGAAGTTATCCAGCCTCAAAGAATATCCAAAAGATGGAGGTAAATAGAGTAAAATATGATGTTTTTATTACGAACCACTCACTATGTTGTCCATATTGTTAAATTTTAATTTACATACAGACAAAGAAGTCGTTGGGAAAAGACACGCAGTATAATTCCTTGGGATTTTAGGTCGTAAAGCAGTTATAAACAAGCAGAAAATCACAAAAAATTATTAGTAGCTTACGTAGTGCTGTCCTGTCATACGTCACGTCTTAATTCTAATAGGAGGTCAATTATTTTTTACAAATCAGCTGCTTTCACCTTCTTAGACGCGTTGGTAGTTGTGATAATGAGTAAAAGAACTGTGGTAATATGTGGTTGATATGACTATAGAGGGTTTGCTCAGGTTCATGAGGCCTTGATTTCTACAGGCTGATCTGTGGCATGGGGTATCACTTTTTAGTCATTTGTTTGATGCCAAAAGATGGCCAAACATTGTCATTTGCTATGAGTTCATATTTACTCAGCAAAGAGGCTGCTACTATTGTAGCAATACTTATTGCAGATAAATCAGCCTTTTTTGTTTGCTTTTGCAGTGGTCAGGATGAATGGAGTAGTGAAGACCGACGAATCCGACTCTCTGGCTGGAGATATGCCAGAATCAGCCGCGGGCAAGCCTGAAAACGAGTCAGGGGTCATACAGCCGCCTGGAATAGGTCCCGCGATACATCTAAACGGGTCAGCTTGCCCAGTGCAGGACCAGCCATTGCAGGTTAGCCACTTTATGTCGCTTTGCGTTTGTTTTCTTGAGCTTAAATAAACTATAGCTTCTCTTAAAAAACGTACGCCCAATCGCAAATTCGAGTGGAGATCTTGTTGGACTCTGAATCCAGAGTTCCTAGAAGCATTTGTTTCTGAGAGATTCCTACTTCATTTCTACATCACGCTTGTAAAAAGCCAACCGGTTGGCCTCCCACCAGTTGAGGTTTTAATTATGTCACATTTGATTCATGGTGAATTTAGATTTTTTTTAATCAGTAGGCCAAAATGAAAACGACAGCATCACCAACAATTGTGTCCCCTAATATGTCTTAATAATAGTCTTAACAATCACAGGAATACAAAAGTACTCCTGACATTACGCAAAACTTTCTGAAACTGTTTCATGTGCCTCTATAACCGGTGACATCACCATCATCATTTACCTTGAGATGTCTATATGGAGGAATTAACCCCTGAATTTACACTGGATCGAGCTCTAACCAAAGAAACCTCGATTTTTTCCGAGCTGTTGAAGGAAGGGGTATATAAATTCTTAAAGAGCTTTTTAGTGAAAAAAGAAGCAATAAAGACTCTTTATTTACCTTGACTGACTTGTTATATTTCAGGTCAGGGTTCATCCTGTTCAGCTTCAGAAGGTGAACGGGAGCCTGGGACTCAATATTATTGTAAGTATTTTATGAAATAAGATAATCTTCGAATATTTGAAAATAATAATTAATGGTAAATTTTACTAATCAAGATAAAACTTTAGAGAGTTTGAAAAAAAAAACCATTTGTGAATGATATTTCTGTTGCTAACTCTCACTTCTTTGAGAAATATCCTTCGAGGAAGGGGCAATTCAAAATCCTCTGTGGAAAAAATATTTCTAAAGATTAAAAAAAGAAAAAAAAAACAGAAAAGACAAGAGAGTCTACACAATAACAAGAGACTGAAAAAGGGGCTCAAACTAAAAGCCGTTAAAAAGTTAACTGTCTTTGCTCAGCATTGTTTGGAATGGGTAATTTAGTATTATCAAGAGATTTGATAATGTAAATTGCCCACCGTAAAGAGTTTAAAAGCTGACGTTTCGAGCGCTAGCCCTTCGTCATAGCTATTTTCTGGTATAGTCTCAGTGGTGACGTCATATTCTCTACAGGGTGGTATCGAGTTGGGTGGTATTTATGTGAAGACCATGGCCGCAGAAGGTCCCGCCTCTCTCAGCGGAAAAATTAACATTGGTGAGTTTTCTTGATCCACATTCACTGAATACTAAAGCATCCTGACATAGTAACTCTTCTTGTAATGTATTAGAGATTTGATATCATCAGAAAATTCTGACAAACTGACACTTCACCATTTAAGAAGAGTTGAATTTAGCATGAAGTAAAGATTATTTCCCCCGAAATTTTGAACACAAGTCTTGATTTGCCTGTCGTTTGACATTTCAGATCACTAATCATAGCTGAGGACCGACCAAAACAATTTAAGAATAAAGGGTTATGCTCTTAAATGCTAAATAAAGGGGCAGATTCTATCCTCTAAGTAGGCGGTCCTTATTGTCTTTCTGTGATTTGTTTAATTTACTTGGTTTTCTTTTGCTAGGTGACAGAATTCTTGAAATAAACGGTCAAAGTCTAGAGGGTTTATCAAGACAAGAGGTAATTTATATGACAATGATTTTTGTCCTCTAGAACCTGAGAAGAATTGAATAATAGATCATCTTTAACCCCTACATCTTTTGTAAGATCCAAAATTAAATTATACTAGCGTGTCCACAATTAATTCTCAATAAGCGCATTTTGGGATCTCGAAATCTGTTCCAGTTATCCTTACGACCTTCATTCAATTGTTCCTCTATTCCATTATAAAATTACTTCCTTTTTCCCGGTACGCAGGCTGTTAACATTTTAAGGACAGCACCTCATGTTTGCACAATGCTGATAGAGAGCTGTGTAGCAGCTCCTGCGACACCAAATGGCAAGCCAGTAATGCCTGGGTCCGAATCAGCGTCAGCTTTTTATCACCCTCACAGACAGCAGCAAATGCAGCCCATGATGGAACGTCAACCCTCATTGGAATCACAGTATTCTTCAATGCAACAGCAGTTTGTGCCTAGCCAAAGTCACCAGATTGAAGACATAGTTACAGTGAGTACTACTAATGTAAAGGAACCAAACTCAGAAACACTTTCTTTAGGAAAGCGGACCACTATCGAGGCAATAGCCTGGGCACAACCTTTTGAAGGGAACACTTTTGCAAAGGGAGCTGTGTCGGCTATTTTAAGGGAAAGGGCAAAGAGTAAAGTAACGGCTCTTAACGAAAATGGCTCTCCGGAGGATTCACCGGAAAAGTGTAAAGGAGATGTAGATTTAATTGATTCCTTAGCTGGGGAGGGAACAAAGTCACCAGTAAATAAAACCGAGGAAAATACAAGAGAGCAGTCTCTTGCTCCATTAGACGATTGTCAAAAGTTGCTTCCAGCGGAAAACTTGTCAGTAGAAGAAGAATCGCAGCCTCTCCCATCAGTGGAGGAGCAGACTCCGCCAAATGAGGAGTCAGGCGTTGTGAGTGGGTTTTTCAAGAAAATCCATTCCTTCTTATTTTCTCCAACTTCACCGAAACGAAAGCGCTCGGAGGAATCAGAATCTTCCTGCTGTGAAAGCGATTTTGATTCGGAGTTTAGTGAAATGACTCAGGGATCTTTCAACCCGGGGGACATTGAAGCAATTCGCGATGAGCTTGAGCAGTTATTAAGCGGTTCACCGAACCAGGGTTTGGAAAATAGGGACGGGTTTTCCCATGGTGAAGGCCGCAGCTCTCAGCGAGGTAGTCCTCTCCCCTTAACCCAAGAAGAATTAACTATTGATTCAAAAAGTCAGCAGGGAGATAAAGATGTCGTAGAAAGGGGAAAAGTAGAGGCTCTTGAAGGGCTGGAAAGAACCATGACATATAAAAAGCTTCTGGAGAGCAGTGAAACTGAACAGGGTGGTAATGAAATAATAAATTTCAAAGTTGAAGATGATGCGAGTGATATGCAGGAAACAGAGCGGAAAAATTTGGTTAAATCTAGCATGAATATTAATTTAGAGCAAAAAGATACATCTTTCTGCAAGGATGTGGATTGTATTGATCGGGAAATTAGTAGAGTCACAGATGATAAAGAACTAGAAGGAATTTACAAAACAAATAGTGTTCTTAAGGTTCAGAAGGAAACAACTGTGTAGAATTGGATGAAGCCTTCGTGGTCTAGTGAGCTCTGAGTGATGAAAAGAACCTGACATTCTTCTCAGGAAAAAATTGATCAGAAAACTGGTCGGATTGATGCTATTGCTAAATCAATATTATCAAGTGATTGTTAACTATGTTAATAAACGATAATAACAGTTAAAACCAAAATCAGCTTTAGAAATCATTGTTGCAATGTAAAAAACATGCCGAAGAATAACTGAACAATATTGACATTGTTCGTTTGTATAAGACTCAAAGTAGTGGTTATAACCGGATTCGAAAATGAAAATAGACGGGTAGAGACGTGTTAATTAGCCATATTACAAAATCATTGGCCTCAAACTTAATTTATCTTTATTGTCTCTTTTATTTTCGTTAACGCAACTGTGCCAGAAAGTGTAATTCTTTATTACATAAAAGTGTAGTAGGGTTAACCGTTATAATGATAAACCTGTAACTTAAAGTATTTACCTCACTGTTGTAAACATACAGTAGTTTATTGGAGTGAGTGCTAGAGCGTCAGTTAAAGTAATTAATGATAAGGTCGCAATCCTAAGCGAGACAATACTATCTTCGTTCTATTGTTTCTTCGAATAATGTACAAAGAGGTCAATTTGGCCAACTCTGTATAACAAGCTGGCACTATGTAATCAGCAGGAAGATTTGAGGGTTATCTCAGACGGTTTTTCATATCTCTCATAAGTGTATTGTCATCTACAGTTTTGATTTAGAATTTGTTTCAAACCGTGCTGACCAAGTGAATGAAACGAAAGAATTATTGAGTGAATTGTAGATGAAATGTGTTATCCTTGAAAAAATTGAATAACTGGTAAAAAATAAATTAAATGAATGAGTATCTTCTCATCTTATAATGGTGATAATTTTTGTTCAGAAGCCCAGAGAAACCTTTAATGCGGTATGAGGCCAATATAAGATAAAGTTTTCAAATGGAAAAAGAAATCTATGAAGATATCCCACATCACAGTCTGGTGTAAACGGCATCAAACAATGTATTTATAAGTAACTCTTACAAAACTTAAAGAAATGATAAACATTGATATTACAATCTTTCTTAGTAATTCATTTAATTCTATTTCTTCATTTAAGATTTTTACAAAGAGTATCGAGTTCAAATCATTTCAAGAAAATGTGAAATGCATTCAACTGATGACCTCTGTTTAGTTTCCAAAGTTTGTGAACAAATCAAAGGTTTTTGATGCGGGATTCTCTAATTATTTCAACGTAAAATTGAAAGGAGGTTGTCGGTATGATCATGAGAGACACTTCAGATGTTGTTACGTTAGAGGAAATTTAACAGAGGTCATCTCAATAGAATGCCACTGTAAGTGACATCCTTTCCGAAAAGGTAGCTCAATAAAATAATCACAATCAACTGTTATAAGGATGGGAACAAACGAGTATTGATAATGACCCAGTGTATACCTCTGTTATGGCAATGGTTTAGACTTGTATCATTCAAAACTTATTTTTGTGGTTGAAACGGCTAACTCTGATGTCTCTTTCAGGACTACATTCCTATTGAAATTCCGAAACTCAATGGAAGTTTCGGGCTAAATGTTACGGTAAGATAATTTTGTTGAAATTCATTGCACCTTGCAGCGTCCTTAGAGATTTTTTTCCACGTTCCTTGCCATCTCCAAAATCCTTAGCTCTTTTTTTTTTAAATTGTTCAAGAATTCTTTCCTTTCAATAGTTTGGATGTCGCAAGTCAACGATCTCTACTAAGAAAGTCATACTGACTATACTATCTTTCCCAGTTAGGCTAAGAGAGGACACAATTTTCCTATTTTGAACATAGCCTTTCGGGATAAATTATTTTCAATGGGTCATGATTAAGAGCTCTTTTCATACTCTTGTCCAAATCATGCAGAGTATTAACTGTGTCGGTAACTATTAAGTAACACCTGATGTACTACTTATCTCGACTGACACAATGTAGAGATATGAAATATAGGCCGTTGTGAACTATGCGTTGATTCTAATTAATTCTGAAAGAGACCCTAGAAATTTGACCGTTTAAATTAAAGAAAGGAAATAGTAACCTTTAATACAAATGTGATCGCAAATTAGCATTTAAGCTTAAGTTTTACATACTTTGGTTGCTCTCGATATATGCCTGAGTTTTTAGTCCATTTTTCTCATTTGAACAATCCTGAAAGGAAAAATAACAAACAGGGCTAAATGATTTAAAATGTGGTCTACAAGCATGCTTATCGGACGTAAATCTGCCAGTCAATTTGTAGATAAAAGAAGCTATTTTTCGTTTGATGTCGCGGAATCAGCCGTTTCGTGGTGGTAATTCCATAAAGAATCCTTTGTCTACCTGAAGCGCTTTCGTTGCATTTTAAATTCGTTCTAGCTCTTTCCGGTGTATTAATTCGTGAAGTGAAGCACAGGTGTATTGACATCGCATCTAAGCTGTAAATAATTCAGTTAAATCTGTTTTGAACTTAATAACAACGACGAAAACTTTAAATTAGATTTTCTGAATCCACGCCATCACGTAGAACTCAAGTTTCGTTACAGCAGCTGCAATTCAGCAGAAGGAAATTGTCCCAAGTGATGATCGAACAAAAACAATGAAAGATTCCCCAAAAAAGTAGAAATGTATCATCCCAGAATGTAGAATCGATTTTCCTTTGCAATATTTTAATAGATACGTGTTTTTATAAGAAAAAGTAATTTGGCCATGCCGGAGTTTCTTAGTTATCAGCGGGGACCCAGTGAGGTCTCTTTATTACAATTCGTTTAAGAATCGTATAAATCATTCATAAGTCGAAACATAATAACAAAAATGTCTTTCGGCTTCGTCTATAGCAATGTTTTCAAAACTATGAAAGACTCAGTTTACTAACAGTGGCGTTTCCTTTCAAAACCTCACCAAACTTTTCTCCTCACACACGGAATTCCCGTCCTTCTCATCCATGTTTTCTGGTATGTTTTGACTTGTGATTGTCGAAATAGGTCTAAACTTCGATCTTTTCCCATTTTATTTTGAACAATGGTGACCTTATAGTAAACGAAGAAATTTTTGGATTTCTTATGCTTACTTTATCTTATTTTTCACCCTAGGGTGGGCCAGAACTCGATGGAATTTATGTGAAGTCCCTATTACCTGGCGGAGCCGCAGAAGCTTCAGGGAAAATAAGAAATGGTACGTAACTGATCTGTTATGACTTATTTGATCAGCGACCGAGAAAAGAAACTTTTTTCATATCACAACATCGGTTACAGAATAGCACTCTAATTGAAAGTGGAAGTCGGGTACAACTGCCTTCAATATCAATGACAAAAAAAAAAAAATTTGACAAACCTTTAAGTTTTGTGCCATCCTTTTGAAAAGAAGATCGCTCGTGTCCGTGTTGTTGCGCCGCCAATCCAGGGTGTTATTTTACGTTTCTATTTCGTTGATAAAGCTACGTTTTATTACTTAGTTTCAAGCAATGGAAAATAAATTCACGGATGCTTGCTTATCTTGTGCTCTAATGAATTTGATTGGATGCCCTTTGAATGGAAAGGAATTGCTTTATTTATTCAAACATCCTTCTTTTTTGGGAAGTGACCAATAGCATTCTTTCTTTGCTGTATTTTGCGTCCATTGATTGGACGCGATTATTCTAAGACTAAACGTATCAAGTAATATGTTGATGTATTCTTACAAACGTACCTCAAATATTTTGGTTATTTCACCTTTCTGATTTGGTGGGCAGAATTGTTTAAATGCAAAACTATAGAACTTTAGCGTCAAATGTCTGCCTTAATTTCCATGATCTTATATAAAGAAATAGTGCGTATCATCCTAAGAGAATTACGGTGTAAGATATCGATTTTGACTGTATTTGACTCCTACTGTATAACACTGATTGATTGGCAGCCTAATGCCGAGAAGGATTTGTTTTAACCTTGAATTTCCGAGTGCAATTCATGTATAATGTAATCTAACGCAATTGGTCACAGAAATTGCCCCACAGTGGTATCAAATAGCCAATGATGTAGAGAATTTTCCTAAGATGTAGAAAATCCTCGTAAAACTTAAATTAGAGAACTTAAATGAGCGAATAAATCTTGAAATCAATAGTATTAATTTGTGAAATGTGAAATTATTTATTACATAAATACGATCTCGTAAAGGTGTATCATCTTTTATTCGTAAGGTGACAGAATAGTGGAGATTAATGGTGTGGCAATGGATGGTCTCAATCGTAAACAGGTAATTATTTGAGACTCTCCGTCGATCCATCTGTAAAGTTCATTGACGAAAATGATTTCTTTGGGTAAAGAAACTAACCGGCCTGCCACCTGACGGCGTCACCTCGAATAACATCGAAGTATCCAGTGGTGATGAAAATCTTGTGGGAAAAATTTCACACTCTTTTAGAATATTAAGTATTTGGCTAGAATTCGACAGAAAAAAAATCTTGACCTGGCGTCATTGTACAATAATTATCAGTGTCAGACGAAATAGCGCCATAAAGTCTGTCTGCTTAAGCAAAACGGCCTGTTTTCATTTATGCATGTTGTTGAAGAACCCTTTTCATGTTATTACGATTTCCGTTATTTAATCACAATGTTTTTTTTGTGCTCCTTCGTATTTCACTCAGCAAAACAGTTACAGTCACTTTTCTTTTTTATTGGCGTTAATAATTTGGGACGGCTACAAAACCTCAGCAGGCAAATCGTATCATAATGACATTTTTTCCATTTTAACTTTCATACGGTTAATTGCAACAGGCTGTAGAGTTGTTGAGGCGGTCCGCTGCCACAGCGACACTGGTCATAGAGCGCTTCAGAAATCCTGAGCCTGCAGGACCGCAGGTGGAGGACTTGGAGGATCTCTTGAGAACTTCGGTATGATTGCTATCACAATTACTTAAATCTTTAGATTTCTTGGACATGAATGGTTGAGGATAAGACAACGTCTTGGAAAATAGGATATCTGTAAATGATTATTATTTATCGAATAGAATTTACTCTACAAAGTGACTAAGTCGCCTGAAAATTTTGATAGAAACACTATAATTCTATATTTTTGTTCTTTTTTTTTTCATCTTCAGCCAAATTGCATGCTAGTGGAACTGCAGAAAATCAACCATTCATTTGGATTTAGCGTTGTGGTAAGGCAGTGGATTTTGTTCATATTATATGCTACTTGATAGTTGAGTTTTATCAAGAGTTCCTGTTAATTTGGTAATGCTGAGTCTGACCATCTGTTACGATGGTTAAGGTACATAAGATTTGTTGTTGTTGTTATTGCCGTTGTGGCAAACCACTTCCTAGAAGTTCTTGGTATAAATTGCATCTTTTCTCAAATTCTTAACAAAGACTGGGTATTTTTTGGAAGAGAAAAGGATAACGGAGAAATAAGTATAATTTGCTGTTATTGTGTCATCATTTTATTCGCCAGTTGTAATTGATCTAACTGAAGGCTCTAAGTTTTTACTTTATATTATAAAGGCTTAGATATGAAAACGATCTTCGCAGTAGTGAACATTACTTAAGCAATAGCGAAAATAACGATTGATAAAAACTCAGGCCTGTATGGGATTTGAACCCATGAGCTCTGCGGTACAGTGCTCTACCGACTGAGCTTACAGGCCAACTGGGAGCGGGTCCATTATGTTGGATCGAAAAAAAACCTGTGAAGTGATGATTAGTTGACTGTGAGTATATGAAAATCATGTATGTGAATTGGGGAATAAGAACTACATATGAGAGCGATCTTCGCAGTGGTGAAGGATCACTACATAATAATAATAATAACTTTATCACAGTATTTCCACTGAAAGGCGGCTCTTAATCTGTAAAAATTTACATTATATTAAAAAGTAAAAATAATAGAAAAAAAAGCTAGAATAAATATAAATCAAGAAATCAAATGTGCATTTGCCCTGTTTGTAAGATACTTCCTCACTTTAGTTTAAAACCACTAAAAACTACAGAGTTCCTTAAAGCAGATGGTAACGAATTCAAAACATTAGAGGCGCTGTACTGGAAAGTTCCCGACTTCGAAAAAAGTACCCGACTTCGAAAGTACCCGATCTTAGCACGAAACAACTTTAGTAACGTCGTTTCTTTCGAAGATCTCAGTGTTCGTGTGTGTAGGATTATGATGTCTAGCTTAAGATAGAACAGCCAGTCATAATAATGCAAGGCTTGAAAAGCAGAGTTAAGTAATTAATACTTTCTGATTAGATCCGACATATGCGCATAGTGGTAGCGAGGATCATTTTCATATCTATTTCTTATTCCGCAGTTCACATGCACGATTTTCATATATTTACCTTCATTTAATATAGAGACTGTAGGACATGAACCGAGGTGATATCATGCGTTCAATAATTTTTCTTGTCAACAGGGTGGGCCTGATTTCGGTGGAATTTTTGTGAAAACTATCAATCCAAATGGTGCGGCAGCAATGGATGGTAGGATAGGAATCAACGACAGAATAGTGGCTGTAAACTGTGTCAATTTAACGCGTGCTACAAGACAAGAGGTATGCAACCACTTGACATGTGCAGATTAACAATTTAAAGTTGGGGTACATTGTAAGACACATTGGAAAGATTTTACCGCAGTGAAAGCAAGATATTTTTGAAATTTTCGATGCTTACAGAACATTGAACCATACTTTCAGTCTCTCAAGCTATATTTAGAGTGAACACTTTGCGAAGAAGGCTACATGCTTTTGATCAAAAGAGAATGAAAAGTTTGACCCAGCAGGCCTTTTCTCCAAGGTTGCAAGAAGGATGAGAAAGGAGTTGCCGTTTAAATTTTCAAATTGATAGAGCTTCAAGTAACTCAACAAGCTGTATCTCTCTTAGGCGGTTGACGCCCTGCGAAACTCACCAATCATCGCTCAACTTGTAGTAGAAAAAGTCACTGCTGAAGATATCATGACAAACAGTAGCGGACCACCCACCCCACAAGAATCAAGATACGGCGCAGTGCATTACAATCATTATCAAGCGAGCACCGACAGCTATAATGGTGAGAAAATCAAGAAATAATCTAACACTCAGGAATCATGGATCATGACTAGTTGTTTAAACATCACTATCCTCGAGTTCTTTTTTATTTTTTGACATGCGAAACTAACTTATAACCCAATTTTTCCCGATTCTTCATGTTAAGTGACCTCTGATTATGAAACATTTCTGTTGTAGATTACAGTATGGACGATCTACCATTCGAGGTGTATCTAACAAAGGGACAAAGTGGACTGGGTATGAGTCTCACAGGGGGAGACAATGGAGGTATGTCACATGTACATGTATCTGGCAAAGTTTCTTTATTGTTACACATACTTTTGAACGCGCGGCACCCAGCTTTATTTAAAATTTATCTGTTAAATTTTTTTGTCGGTAACTTAGAGTTAAAGCCTGTCACACCCAATAAATTTCACACAGAACACTGCTTTACTAAAAAACAATGAATCTTTAACAAACTCATAGGTAATACGTATTTTTAAACTTCAGTTTGAGAAAAAAATATCTTTAATTCACTGACCAATTTAGACAGCAATTATGTGTCCACGGCTTTTCCAATACGAATGAGTGACTTCTCTCGCTCTTAAGAATTTCTGAATTACTAACTTGTATTTTCAAAACAATTTATTTACAAAGCTCCAATCTATATTAAAAAGCTGGTTCCTGGAGGCTCAGCTCTCATGTGCGGACAGCTTCAAGTGAACGACATTATTCTCCAAATCAACAATAAAAATGTTGACCGGATGACATATAGAGTAAGTTGATAGTTCATTTACAAAACATAAGTGTTTAGCAAAAGCAAACAGCCTCATGATGTACAGAAGAAAGTGGCTTAGTTTGCGGAAGGTGTTAATGTCACTACTGGATCCGATGGAATTGTGGAAGCCAAGCCCAGCCCTGAAAACATTTGAAAGATCTCACTCTCCTTTCCAAAAATTTTCGATCCTAACATTTATGAGAGAAAGTGCCGTTATGACAGTGGTAATATCTTAGTGACTGTAATAATTTACGGGACAAAAGTTCCATCATACTTCTAGGCTGAGAACTCGTCAATTAATCTTAACTATATTGAAATTATAATTCATATTGATGTAAATAAACAAACATTTTCAGTTGTACTTAATTGATTCAAATTTATTTCTAAATTAATTGATATCCCCTCTGACAAGAAGTGCTTGTTACCGCACTGTGCTCTATGTGAATTATTTCAGCTTGTTCCGAATTAATTATCTTTTGTTCGATCTGTTTTTGTAGGAAGCTCTTTCCATACTTCGCAATTGTCCCTCAGAGGTTCGCTTACTCGTACAGAGACCCCGGATGTCCTCTCATCCTCCTTACCCAGGATACCACGTGGGCAGTGACAGAGCAAGTGTTGACAGTTATGGAAGCTATAGTAGCATGTCAAGTATTTTTTAAACAAGTTCTGACTATGTTCATCAAGATAAGTTAAAGATTTTTAACCAGTTTATCAAGTTAAACAAGTTCTGCGAGTTTATCTCGCTCAGCGACTGTACATTGACCTTTTTGGAGTAGTGCTTTGTCATTGGTCAAAGGAATTTAACCTGTGGCAGATTGGCAAAGTAGTGGTAAAGAACTGAGACATATGAATTCAAGCCACAATCCAAGTTTTAGTTCAAGTTGCGGAGATGGATGAAATAGAAACGACTGCCTTTATAATGGAAAGTCGATGCAGATTAGCGAATTACATTGCTAAATTTGGTGGAATTAAACTAATAGCAGGCTCGTTTGGGCTTCAGACACAAGTCACCTGTACATTAAAAACCCCTAAGTTTGGAAACCGAGTTGTAAAGTTAGATGAAATGATGAAATTGTGTTTCGGGAATCATCTTTGCGAGGGCTGCGGGCCACATTGTCTTTCGTAACTGTTTTCTTTTTTTTTGTTTTGTTTAATTTTTTTCTTGATAGAGAGCCCTGGCGTTTTAGAAAGCTTGTTTTTCTGAGGGGGGTTATCGTAAAATTTATTGTTCAGGGACGCCTGTTACCTCTGTTTTCTTCTGATCAGGTGACCATCGCCTGAAAATTCTTACTGACTCCTATTACTCTCTTTAAGATGTAAATGTACTTCTTAATAAAGTAAGAGATGTGTTCAGCTTGTTAACAAGAGAGTTGGAACATAAAAACTCTCCCTGAAAGACAACAACTACTAACTTACACAGCGACAGAGTGGAAGCAGGGTAATCACGTCTTATCAACCGTGTTGATAACGTAAACTGGCCACAGTAAAGAGTTTGAAAGCTGACTTTCGAGCGTTAGCCCTTCGTCAGAGCGATAGGCGAAGGGCTAACGCTCGAAACCTCAGCTTTTAAACTCTTTACTGTGGCCAGTTTACGTTAGCAAATCGGTTTACAATACTAAATTACCCTGTTATACTCTTCCACCGACGCAGCACCACGTTTTACCCTCTTTACAGAGAGAAAGATTTGTTTTCGGCGTAAAGGTGAAGTTTATTTGACGCGCTTTGCTCTATCGACGGTCAAAAGTCAAAAGAAACTTTGCGGGCTAGTATAAATCCATCCAAGTTTTTCAACTTCATCGGCTTCTTTGGCAGAATCATCCTCTTTTTCGTTATCGTTACAATAAAATTCAAAGACTTTCATCATGATGTTCTTCGAGCCACAAAGGCTACCCTAAACATTCCGTGTCCTTTTGAAAATCGCGCTCTATTGAGCTATGGTCGCTCGAGCCATCAACTAAATGCAACTTCATCAACATCCAAAGTTTTTCGACCCATAACGCATTTTTCAAACGTGCGTCAGACACAAGAGGTGATAAAATCACATATTTTCTTTTGTTGGAAAGAGAAGAATATTATTCTAGAAACATATATAATATGTCGTTTATTGAAATTCACAACATTATTAATGGAGATTACATTTTTATTCCGGTCACCTCCCCACTTAATGTCCGCATTGACTCTGGAGTGACTGCAAACAATTCAAGAATCAATATTCTAAACTCAAGCTTTACATGTACTAAACTTTGTAAACTTTTCCTTATTTCTGCTTTAATTGTTTTAAAACCATTACAATTATTGGCTTTTATTCATTTTTAGAGTCTATATGACCTGATTATTAGACATTAGCATACTGGCAGCACATTGTTAAACATTTTCATATACATTGGCTATTGGCAAGGAACGTTCCCTACGCACTAAACCAATCAGGCGCTAGTTACGTTTACGAGAAATGTCTCGTATTACTGATTACTGACGGCTCTGAGCCGTTTGAAATTACCGCCGTCCAAATTGGTGGCAAAAGTCGGCGAATTTGTTTTGTAACCAAAAGCACCATTCAAAATTTCATTCCTATATTTCATTATTATTTGCTACGATATCAATAGAGAAAAATATCTATATTTCAAAAAGTTTAGCGATTATAAAATATTAAAAAACTAGGTAATTGTCGCTCCTTACAAAATTCATTAACAATGGAAAACCAGAAAGAAAAAGATGTCTGACAAATAAGGCTCTTCTTTCTTTACAGATAGATGTCAAAGATGCTAAGCGGGAACATTCTTGCCCTTCATATAAAGAAAATTGTAAACTCAAGTGTGATTGGAACCCAACTAGTCTATAGTTTTGGTCTCAAGAATGTAATTCTTGGCAGCTTTACTCATCTCTCTTCACTTAAAACTGACAAGGGAATTAAAACTATCTATTATTGGTATGACTTCCTTGGCCATACTTCATGGGTTGATTTCTTCGACAAAATCTTTTGGAAACATTCCCCTTTTTCCTTGTACTTCTCCACACCACCAAGTGTCATCCTCGTGGTAAATTAGTTTTACATGATCTCCAGCCTTGAATGATATTTCCTGGTCTCCCTGTGCGTCATAATCAAAAGCCGCACGGTAAAATTTGGCCTCGTTCTGTTTGTTTGGTTGTTTCTTTTGGTCCACACTGGAATACATCGATTCATCTAGAGATTCTAAAAAACAAGTAATCAAAGATATTTTTCATTGGTTAATTATGAGAGTACTGTTGGAAACGAAGAGACACTCTCCTTTGGAAGTATCATCCGTTTACCAAAATTTCCTCTACCTCCCACTTTGAACCCCTTTTGAGCACAACATGCCATATCTAAGTTAGCCTTTTGACATTTGCACATCTTATCACTTCAACATTGCAAATAATCTTGAAACATTGATTGGCCACAATTTTTGATTTTGGCTTTCGCATGTCACCAAGAATTATCAAGGCCCCTATGTGTGCTATCTCCACGCCGTTGAAAATTGTCACCAGCATTCTCAACCTCAGACAAGCATTTTTAAATAATGTTCTTGCCCACGAAACTGTAACAATATCCCGAAAACTTGAAGCTAAACCAAACCTCCTTAAGCCACAATCGCAACCCCCATTATTTTATTTCTTATTCTAAATGATAGATTGATCTACGAATTATTGCACGATAACTTCAGTTGACTGCTCCCTGGCTTCAAGCACACAGAATAAAGACTTTCCCATACGAAGGGAAAGAGATCTGTAGTTAACAACTCACAACTCAACGAATAAACTTTGTAATATCACTGATAAATTCGTAGGTAGGACCAGCACGAAGGGACTTCTTAGAGGAAGAAGCCTTCACTGTACATTAAAAAAGGGAGAAACCATTGGAATCCCGAGAGATTTACGTGAACAATGTATTGAATATCTCACCTTGATGAGGAATATCAGGGAGTTGCATAGGAGGACGGCGGTTCAATGATTTCGGAGTACCCACGGACGGCTGCACAATATTGGTGTCTTTCGAATGCACGAAGGTACCTGCTACAGGCCCAGTTATGTTTACATTGCTACTGGGGGACACGACTTTTGCCGATGACTGCGCCATATAATAGTTCTCATATTCTATACGCACTAAAGACAAAAATAAAAACACATCTCTTTATCGATTAGAGGAGAGATAATCCGTAAAATAAACATCTTTGGCCACTACATGTATTCACAGACAAGCCGAGGGAAAAATCATTGTTTTTGGCAAAAACAGCCCAGTTCGCAGGTTAAAAGGAAAAAATCAAAATTGAAAATTTTTTGTTAAAAGTTACTGGGCAATAGAAGGTCACCAAGAACGAATATTTCTCCCATTGATTGAAGCGTAAATTTCGGATCAAGAACGAAGGCTGTGCTGTGGGCTATTTCAGTAACTGGGGAGTCCCTTATTATAACTGAGAACAAAAAACAAATAAAGAAGCAGCTTTTTTTTCCTTTACGGTAAAAGTTCACCTCGAAACATGTCGTTGATATTTCTGGAGAGGCAGAACCCTCCCGTCGTTATTATTGACAGTGGCTGGAAGTAGTTTAAATTACCTGGTCTATCAGATCCCGTTTTCTTCATACTAACGAAAAGATGAATGTCGGATTCTACTGCACAGTTCTCCAGACTTTTCCGCATTTCTTCGCAAGTCTAAAAGTGTACGAAACGTTCACAACATCGATGTGCATGCGCAGACTACGCAAATAACTGCTTACGGCTAAAGACACCGGAAGATAGTGAAAAACAAACGGGGATAAGTTACGTTTAGCCTACGTAGCTGGTCGTATTGTGGGAGTTTAGAGCGGGAAAGCTGCTCCTGAGAGACAACGCGACGAGAAAAATGAAAATTTCAAACGCAAGCCGCCGCCTTCATCTGCATTGAACACCCTCAAACCACCAGCTACACAAATTAAGTTCCTCTGGCAGAATTTTGGACTAAAGAGAACTCGATAATTTTCGGTATCCTTAACTTTCATAAAGGCATTTTTACTGTAGCTGATATCTGTTCTCTAAGAACCCCCTTAATCTGAATGACTGAATTACTTTAAATGATTTGTTTTTCTCTTGACCGGCCTAGGTGGTTGGTTGGTTCATGATTGCTTGTTGTCTTGCTGATTAATGGATAGGCATGTGAACTGATTGGTTTAACGACTACAGGAACAGAAGGGAGTCAAAGGAATACGGTTGCGTCCACTAAAATGTACCTGACCCCCCTTAAGAATCTGTGGTATCATAATAATCCCACCTCATTGACAGTCAATTTTTTTACAGCCTCCACCCCTCTTTTATACTCTGTCAGCGACGACTAGTCCCCCCGCCTCCATTCCCCTTAAAAGAATTTCCCACCCCCCCCCCTCTGCGATAAATGAAGACTTCTCGATTGATCGACAACCTGATTGACTACTCGATTGATTGAGAGATTGACTGACATATCATGGGTGTTTGCTCACCTCGTCCACCTTGACACAGTTCATTGAACTTGTGTTGGCATAGGCCCACATTGCGTTACGCAAAAACGATATTCTCTCTTCTTCCAGGGTTTGAAAAAGCTGTTGGAAAATTAAAAAAAGGCATGTTTAGTAAATAACTAAATCGAAAATTGTATCCTGTCAGTATGAATAGTTACAGGTACATCATTTTACAGTACTTACAGATTCGAACTAATCAAGTGCTCTTAACTTAACTTTTAGACCACTTTTCAACTGAGTGTTGAACTTGATCTAGCATTCCATGTTTTTCGCTCTACTTCCCCATGGGATTGGTTTAACTCACCCCATCCTTTGAACCATCCAGAAGTGAAACTTGAACCAACCAGAGACATTTGTGTTTTCCCGTACTTCGAGAGGTTTGCTTGTTTCCATTTTGAGTTTTAATATCTCATTGTGATGTTAGCTCCCGAAAAGTTAAACTTATTTGAACAGAATCACTGGCAGTGTACAAATATAACGACTATTACACATACATTACAGCACTGTTCCATTTCTTTCTCCCACATCACCCGTGCATCTTCAAGGCTTCGCACAGAGTTTTGGTAGGCAGTGTCTGCGTGTGATTAAAAAAATTTAAGTGAAAAACAGAGTGGTAAGAGAACACCATTCTATTCAGTTTATTGAAAAACTCACTTGTGAGACAACGGCAATGAAATGATGTCAAGTAAATAAATAAGTGAATGACAAAAATAAACACAAATGAATGACCAATCAACACAAAGGAAAAAAATTTAGACACCATTAATATACAGTTTATGGATAAGTCAAATTTTGAAAAACAATGATTCCTAATCAAACTAATCATTTTATCAGGCATTGATCAATCCACTTGTCTTCAACAAAGAATGTAAAAAAAGTCTGCAATGGAGCTACAGTACCGCTCGCGTATACGTTAATCAAAAAACGCGAATTAAATGCGCAAAAAATCGCATGCAATTGCGAATAAAAAAAATCGTGCGCGTCAAAAAGCCCATCCAGCTTTGAGAAAGCCTCATTAGTTTGTTATCCTTTTGTTTTTCTATTTTGGTTTATTATTTTAAATAATAGGCTTCAATTCAATAGCTCTTTTCCTACCAATGACCAAACTTCTTGTTTGCGATCGCCACTGGACCTTCCCAATATGCATTACCAATGTGACTTCGTAATCGGAATATATGAATGATTTACCAGTCAAGTCTTCATTTATCAAAATAGAACTCATAAAGAAAAACGCAACCTGATTTGTTCTATGTCTCGGTAGAAATCTTGGACCAGTTCTCGAACCGATGAGGAAGAATTACAGTGAATCATTCAAACAAATTGCTACGCTACCACATCTGGTTTTCCTGTCTTTGATTGAAGATAAGAGTAGAGTCAGTCTTCTGCAAGAAAATCAAAACCATTCAGTGTAAGTTCAGTATTCAAGTAAAGTGCATTAACTGCTACGCTACCACATCTTTTCCTGTCTTTGATTGAAGATAAGCTAAAAATAAGTATTCAGTGTAAGTTCAGGTATTCAAGGGCTCCACTGTACCTGCTTGTTCTACGGCAGTTTTTGCTCGCCCAAGCTTGACCCTCAACTGTAAAAGAAAAAATGAAGAATAACTAAATTGATGCCAATTAAGCACCACACTTTTCATTCACTAAGCTACCATAAATATAAATTAAAGCACAAGACATTGTAGATTTGGGTTCTGCAGATGTAAGTTTTCAAATTCCATACAGAAGTTGTATAAGGTGAAACTCCAATCATTGGTGGAATTTCAAAGAATCAAAGCAAGCAACGCCTGGTAAACAAATAACTTGTCATCAAAGAAATAAACCATGTCACAATAATGTCATGTCACAAAGAACTCTTGAAAAGTACATACTGTATGTTTTCACTTTTGTAGGTTATTTCAATCATTTTCTGGCATTGTGAGGGTATAAAGACCTTGTATATACATAATATATTCCCAATACTTATTATTATGCATCATTTTTGATAGCTAATTTCCCAAAAAGCTCTATAAAGATCCTAAATGTGCAAAATAAATATGTATTATCACAGAAAATCAATTTTATGTAAAACTAACTTTTTCCTCATCTTTGCTGGCAAGTGATACAGATCTTTGTAGAGCTTCCTCTGCAAGGCCTACATCATGGCATTTCTGCTCATAGGTCTTCTTTAGCTACACATTAGAAAATAAAACATTCATCTTTAATACAGACACTAACAAGAGGGACCTGGAAACAAAAACATGTAGATGTCTTTAACATCAATAAAATGTACCAGTGCATGCATTTATACAAGAAATGTCTACTGTTCACACCAAATCTCATGATGGTATTCTTCTGCATATGAAATGACTTTCAAGCTACCTACTGATAGAGGTTGCATGGCAGATGAGGGGATATATAAAATGAAGGCTCCATGCATTTGCACACTTACTCTACTAGTTAAATCAAAACAGTTTTTCTTATTCCGTTGAGCTCTCTTCACTGATTCTTCCACCTTCATAAAACAAAAACAAGTAGGGTTCAGACTTAATACTATATGTTTCTTTATTGAAAGTTTTACAGTATCCTGTAATGAAAATAAAATCTTCGCAAAGACTTGCAAAGACTTGCAAGTGACTGGACTGTGGCATATTGTTACCCAGATTCAATGTATACCATGTACACCATGTACAGAATATGCATATGTATTTATAGGTAAAGGCCCAGAATCTAAGATAGGCTTTTTCGTACTTCAACAGTACCTAGCCCCATTGAATAACAATCAAACCACTTTGAAAGAGTTTTTGTGAAGAAGTAGGAGGAACGAGGGGTGAGTTTTAGAGCAGGGCTTCTTGGATACTTGAACCTCTAGACAGGGCTCTCAATGGAGAACACCAGGGGGTGTTATTAAAGAATTACAAGTTAATAACAACATGAAGAGACCACAGTAAGATACCCTTATGTGAGGGATCACAGATTACAAGTAGACTGCATTCAAATTTGGTTGAAACTTCTGGACCTTATTTACTCTTCAATGACTTTAGCATAGCATATATCAAAGATTACTTGTCTTTTTGAGATGCTGAACACCTCCAAGTCAAAATTACTCTTGGAATGAGTGCAAATATAAGAGATAAATTGTTATCCAAGTTTTTGCAGTAAGATATTTACCTTTTCTCAATCATAGTACATATTCAATCAATCCAAGCTTTCGAAATAGATGTTCCTCAAATGATTGGGTAGAGCAGATTGGTATAGTCTTCCTCTTCAAAGTGGTTTATTGTTTTCAACTAATCTATTTAAAATTGTTAGTTTCTCAAAAAGAGTCCCCCAATCAGTTATCTGTTTCTGTTCATTTCATTCAAACTCTGTCTGACATTACTTCCCAAACATTTTCTCATATTTGCCTTCCACTCTTGTTTCATTTATTTGATGAACTTTTCCCAATATTTCTAAACCTACTTACTTGTATTCTCTTTCTGTAAGCATGATAATGCATATCATTTTGCAGGATTTAGCTAGCTTAAAATACATGCAATTGTAAAAGTCAATTTGCTCATGAATTCTACAAGTCAGAAGCTCCCTGTAGCAATTTTCAGGTGAAGATTGAATCCCTCACTACTTTAATTTACTTTATTTTGCTGTGATATTGATTAAAAAATATAAAACCATTTCCTCAATCAATTGTATATTCCAAAGGACAGAACCCTTCAAAAGTGAGCTGACAGTCTCTTAACCCTCCATCATCGACTCTCAATTCTTGATACTTAGTTCTTACATGGGGACCTTAATCCAGTGAAACCTTGCCCACTTAGATTTTCCTATGTCATAAGAGTTTTTCATGTTCAAACTGAGGGTTCTAATTGGCTCCTTGATATATAATCCCTGGTTCTGATTGGCTGTCATGATCTCGTTTGCTTCGAATATTTGCAACCCTCAATCTGAAACCTCTCAGTTATTTCACTCATAATAATTTATGTTACCTTTTTCCTTTTATCCCGCTGCATTTCTCTAAATTTCCTGACACAGCTTTCCAGCTCTTCAATCAGTTGTTTGGATAGAGCTAAATGCAGTTTCCCAATGTTCTCTGTCTCTGTGGGACAAAACAAATATTGAAGTTAAGATGATGACTTACACCAAAATGCTTTGTGAGCTTCATTTCTATGTTCAGTCCTTGCAGCTGCTGGCTACCATTAGCAGGTAGATAGCTTTTTAGAGTAGTTCTGTTATCTTCTTCAGTATCTTATTTCCTAAACAACTAACTTGAAAAGGCAATAGTTTGACAGACTTCCACTTGCAATAGCTCAAGTGCGCTAAACAATCAGATATTAAATATTTACACTTTGTTAGTTGTACCTGTTTTGATGACCTCCCAAGATTCTCTGAGGGTCCTAAAAAATACCAATTTGCCTTTACTTCAATTGATGTTTAGCTATAATAGAACTTAGTGTGTTCCTCAGGGTGCAAAGTAAACATGGTATATTGCAACAGGTACTGGGACAGTTTGCTTGTTCAGTGAACTTTTCACTGGGACTTTTATTTTATTTTACTTTTTTTTTAGATTTATACACTGATGCAAAACAAAGTGAATGTTGCATCATTATATATGGATCTGAAAAGAGGCGATAAAACTGGAGGGATCACTTCCTCTAAATCACATCTGCCTAGACAACAACAAACCTAAACAAAGTTTAAATGTTTTTATCATCTGTTGACAGTTGCACCTGTTTGCTTAGCAGAATTAAGCTCAAGTGCTCTCAGTCATTTGGTTCTGTAGCCATAAGTAAGGTGGTGGTTTATGAATTTCCTGTCATAAATTCTTCCTGATTAACATTTTAAGTAGTTAGTGGGTAAACCTATGCCCATTAAATATTTCATCCTTACCCAATTTCATCTCTGCCTTTAGCATTTTCAGCAAGTCTCATCAAAGCTTTGCCATACTTCTCCTCAGCATCTGCCCTGCAATATAAATATTTTTTTTGCTAGTGTTGTGTACCTCATATCTACAAAATGCAGACTTACTGTCAACCAATTTAGCCCCTGAATTAATTTCAATACAAGCAAGCAATAAAAACAAATAGAACAGATTGCAGTTGTAGTTAGAAACCTACAAGCTTCTTGTCAGCAAAGTGTATGTCCTATCAAAATCACAAAACACACAAATTTACAAATTACATGCTCATTGTTTATATTTCTTAGTTCTGTGGAGTTACAGTGAGGGATGTGGTCATTATGGTCATGTTTAGTGCTTTGTACACTACCTTTGTCTTATAAAATCTTCAAAATCCAGGCACATTTGTTTTCCATCCTTGAGGCGTTTGCACAAAGCATCAAAACCAGCAGTGCTGTTAAAATCAGTTCCCTGTGAGAGTCAGAAATGGACAGATGCAATTTAGATAATGGGAGAAATAAAATATTGTAAATATCAGTCTGATAGTTTGTAACTTTGAATTTTTAATATAAAGTATCCTCCTTTTAGAGAAGAGGTTTCTGACATCCCCAGAAATTAAAGCCACCCTTTTTATAAGGCCAAACCATTGCTTTTGACAACAAAGAACAGTTAGCATATGTATGACTCACATTTTAGAGTGCTGGACTGTCATGCAGGAGGTTAAGGGTTCAAGCCTTTTTGCAAATAGTAAAGAATATAGCTCACAGAATTCTTATGTTTATACATGAACCCATTAAAACCAGCTTTAAGCTAGACTGGGCATTACCTTGTCTCAATATTGAAAATACAATATAACACAACATGCCTTTTGGACCTGTTTTCAGGATTAAAGTTGTTGACTATTTTTTTCAGTTTTTGAGATATCCTTATCATGTGCATTATACTTGTAAACAAAGGACTTTTGGTTCAGTTGTCAGTTAATTCTTCTCAAGCAGGACAATATGAAATTAATGCTTAAAATTACAAGACTAATAAGATACATGAAGAAATTACTCAGTTCTGATTGGTTATGATAAGTGCAGTTTTCAGGTAATTCAATGCAGAAGAGGGTTATTTCAGTGCAAAGAAGTAACAAATCAGACTGAACAATTCCTAGAACTGTTCAGCCCTACTTTGAACTTTCTTGTGCCTTAGAGATGTGAAAATATCATTGCGTACCATTGTTTTGATCGTATGTGGTTGTTTTGACCGAATGCACGACGGCACTTGTAGGGTTTGAATAAATCATTTTTGCACTTGATGTGTGTGCTTTGCTTCTGCCTTATTATGATAAGCTATCTCATCATATTATTAATACATAATGACATGATTTTTCTCATGCAATTTGCAATAAATAAGCACTTGTAAGTTTTTTCAAAGACCACAAATTGCACTCGCCCTACAGGCTCGTGTAATTTTGTTGGTTTTTATCATTTCAAATTGCACTCAAAATCATGTGATTACTAATACATATTTTTAAATAGATTATTTGAGGTGACTGTATGGAAGTTTTCATCAACCCATTTCAAGGAATCATGTTGATTTAACAAGTGCCAGTTTGTATGGAGTTTATTTTACTCTAGAGCAGAAGTCATTCTACAAGTATTCAACTGAGCATGTAGCAACAGATCGTTTCTGTGAAAATTCAGCTGCTTGGTTGATTAAAATGAGTAGCACTGGTAAATAATTTGCAAGACTGATGATCCCGTGATACTCTCATGCACATGAACAAAATAATTTTTGTCCCCACATGCAAATTTTTGATAAATCATACTCTCATACTGCACAAAATCTCAGTTCCGCACTGTTTTTATAGGTAGACACCCCTCGCAATGAATATTTTGACACGAAAACAGCTAAGACTCATTTTTCCTTCCCAAAACTCTCCGAAAGTGGCTTAATATTATGCCACGTACCGGCACAGGTGGTTGTGGACGTATGGGGTCTTCAGGTTCAGTTGTAACATAGTAAATATTATCACTATGAGAATATTCATGACAAAATAGTGATAAAACAAGAAATTATTGAAATTTCATTTCATTATTTCTACTATCAGAGTCAATCATTATCCGTTTTGTGAATCAAAGTGAATTTGTGGCCCGTGTATCGCCTCAATTAACGATCGAATTCCTTCAATCGGTACATAAACAAATTACAGACAGTTTCTATCAACAGCGAAGGCCTTCATCTGGTTTCATTGTAAACTGATTTCTATCGGAGCAGCAAACAAACAAACAAACACAAATCTTTAATTAAGCCGAAGTAGAAGAATGCGAAAGCAAAACAATTGTATTAGCTCTTCTTCGCGATCATGAATGAAAAGCTTTTGGGCTCAATTTTGATCGCTGTTGTTTTCGATCTGCTAATTGTTTCAATTAATAGGAAATCGGAGAAATTTTAGGGTTCGATACAAAAGGCACATGTAGCCATATCTTCAAACAGATTCAAGTCGAAAGAGTTGACCTATCACGGCATAAAAACTGAAAGTATATTCAACATCGTTGTTTCCGCATAAGTAAGAGCGTTCATGTAAACTCAAAATACAACTTACCCAGAAGCAGTCTGCAAATTTAGTCATAGCGGAAGGAAAGCAAAGCGCCTAACTCAAATCTCTACCTTGGCGATGGCCAGATTCGCGGCCAGAACTACAAAAACTCCGACGGAAAGTCAACTACCCACAGCGCGAGAGGAAGCTGATACTAAGTGAAAGTCCCGGATACGGAAACGTGACAGTGGAAAGATGATTATGACTTCCGGTCTTTCCTCCGAATCTTTTAAGATGAGTTTTCCTTGCTTACGACCAAATAAAAACCAAGAGTAAAACCGAGCGCTTGGTGACAACCTCGCAGGATTCACTTAACATTTTCCTTTCTTGCTGGTTTATTTATGCAGAAAAGTCAACGAGACAAATTCAAGCCATTACGCTTGGTGGTAGCTGCAGTGTGGCGTGACACCTTTTCTCTTAATGACTGTTCATGATGATCTATTTCATTAGGACGGTTTGTTTCCCTTTTCAAATAATGAAAGCGAGGTCACAGTGGGAAATGAACCGTTCTCATGATGAATATGTAATCAGAACAAACTAATAAAAACGGAAATCCTCGATTAAACATGAATACATAAATCAATAAATTAATGAATAAATGTTGAAATAAACTGAAAAAAATGAATTAAAAATGAATAAATGAAAAAATGAAAAAGTTAATAAAAAAATGGATATATTAGTTATTTAATGAATGAGATGATCTTGAGATTAAATACCCCTCTGAATTACTTGTTCAGTGACTATTTGAGGAAACAGTTTCAGGCTTGGGCTGTAGGAACTAACACTGCAAGGTTATAAAGTTGACTTGTGCCTTGTCTTAGCTTTCCTCCCTACCATATGGAGATGTACCCCCACCCAGCCCCCTCCATTTTACAACTTCAGCTTGATAAGAGGGATCGTCTAGTAGATTAGGAAAAATCCTCGATTTTGTGTTTTCGAGGTTGAAGTCAAGGCGTCACGAAGTGCTTTGAAATATTCACTCTCAAGTAGTATGAAAATTACTGTATATATTTTAAATGTTTCATTTGCCATTACTTGATAGAAAATAGCTGTCACACTGCGTACCTCACTGAAGGACTTACATAACTCCTCAGCTTATCTACGACACGTTAAATCGCAGCCATATTAGGTTTCAGTGTTATTTTAACCAGACAAGCAAGGTGACGGCAACTTCACCACTCAGAGGAAACAAGCCTTTTTCTCAGCAAGATGCAAGTCGCAACTGTGTTGATTTTCTTGTCTTTGAGTTCAAGTATGGCACTACCAGGTAATGCTAAAACTTCTTTTAGGTCGTAAACTATTTTGCGAAGCGCAGATCTTTTTCCGACGTGTCGAGGCATCACTAGATGACCCGGGTGTCTCCTAACAGATTACACAAAATTTCATAGAACAATTTTACGATATATTTGTGATTCATGTCTTCGATTTTTGCAGTCCCAGTGGACAGAATTGTCCAACAGAGAGACGAGCGAGAGGTGAGTTATCGCCGCTGCGGATTTTACCATAATCTTACCCTGTCTTGCTAACAAATAACGTTTAAATAGGAAAATTCTACAATCAGAGTTATGCCTCGAAGGAATTTCACTTCGAAATTAAATGTTCACGAAACAGAGCAAGCGTTTTAGTTAATTCATAGTCTTTATCATTGTAATAACTGTTTTCTGTTAGGAAATGAATCGTATTGATAGCGCTTTCCTCACGTCAACGGGAAAATGATATTTTCCTTAAATCCCTTGAGTGTGTCTGGGAGGATTTTCAGTTTGGCTTCTAATTAAGAAATTCTTTAAGAGAAATGTATTACATTTAGCTTAGTCAGTACAAAATCACGGCTTTTCTCATTTATGTCCTGAGCTTGCTAGAAGAGAGTAGCAAACTTTACAACTGTTTTCGGCAGATTCTGTAAGTTTTTCTAAATGGTAAATAATTTGCGATCCGCGTCAATTAATTTGCACAAGGTTAAAATAACATTTACTGACCACTAAGGAACGTACTGAGTACAATCGTGACGGTCATATGTTTTTGTTTTACATAGGCTGTTGATAAGAGCTTTAAACTATCCTGCGTCCAAGATCTAGAGAAGCCAACAAGTATCTTCTCCTTACAATATCAATATATTTTCTCGCAGAAAAGTGAGGAGAGGATCAAAATATCAATAGGGACATTAGGTTTGATCCTGATAACACCAAATTATTGTAGCTAAACTATGAATTCACGTAGACAAAGGTGTAAGAAAGATATGACTGGAAACGTGGAGAAATTTTGATGAGTTCCTTTGAGAGAAATAGTATAATCTGCTTTTATTCGATACCTTTGCACAATGGGATTTGATTTCTTCTTTAATGTTCCTGTTAAGCTGAAACGGGGCCATTTCCTTCAACTATTGTCACTGAAACGGGGTCAATAGCTCATATGACATCATTGAACACAGCGAGCGATTAGCTTTCAATACCAATTTCAAACTGGCAGGAAACCAACGTATTCCTTTTCCTAAAGTACGCGACGGAAAAATTGTCAGCGGTTGAACGAGGCTGTCTGACTTCAGAGGCCTGGAAGTGACTAAAAGAAAAGTGAAGTAATTTCGTGCAAGATTCTAAGATTTAAAATTTGAGGTGAAATAGCCATTGACCCCCATATGATGTCTTACAGACACAATGGACATTAAGATCTTCAGCCTTAGTAACAGGTGTCAAAGAAAATAATTCACACAGGCAGAATATTCCTGTGCATACCTGATTTATAGCCAGCAGATCAGATGCTCGAAATTTATGTGACTACAAGCTACATTATTAGCATTTTTTACCTTTTTAAGTAACGAAAGCAATGCATCATTCTCAATCTTGTTGCAGATTTCCATCGATGAGCTGGAATCGCAGGTAATATTCTAATTAATTTTTGATATCATTAGCATGCATGACGCAATTAAACTACTTATGCTCAGTATTTGCGACCTGTCAATATGAAGCATTTTCCACTCGATTTACAGCTGGAGGAAATTGAAAATCATATCGATGCAATGCGGACAAAGATGAAGGAAGAAGCTCAAAACGAAAATGTCGATCCCATCAAAGGTGGGTACACTCAGTTTAGTAAGGAGGGCGAAGAGGGATTAGAAAGAACAATACCGCATCTACATTTGATTTCTAACTAATTTTTTATCTGAATCCCTCATGAAAGCGTTTAAATCTCGTTCCTTAAGGTCGACATGGGTTGGCATACAAAATAATCGATATTTTTTCTCTCCAGAGGCTCATCCCACGCCACCCACGCCACCCACGCCATCCAAGCCATCCACGCCACACGAGCCATCCACGCTACTCAAGTCATCCACGTCACCCACGCCACCCGAGCCATCCACACCAAGGAAGCGTGAAACAGAAACAAAAATGCCAACGCCCCTGATGACAAAATCTGAGGCTTATAAAACTGAGACTGTGAAACCTTCCAGGCCGGTGAAATTTGAAGAAGAAGTAGAGCATCCAAGCAAAGAAGAAGTTACAGTAGCTTCTGTCAAGATTTCCGCCGAGGGGAAAAAAGTTTCTCCTGTCGGCGAAATAGAAAAGCTCGAGGAAGAAAACAGCAACAAGAAAGAAAAATTTGAAGTTGCCAAGAAAATTGAAATCAAAGCGGCAGCAAACGATGAGATGGAAAGGGAAGAGGCGGCTCTTGAGGGCGAAGACAGAGAAACGCCTGGGAAAGAATTTGTCGTAACGAAGATAACAAAAGAAACAAAACATTTAAGCGGCAAATCAGTTGCAAATGATGAAGGAGATGAAGAAGAAGCAGATCTTGAAAGTGAAAGACGACCTGCAAGCTCAGGTACGATGGAAAAAGGCAACACAGAAAAAGGCTCAGCCAAACTTTCTACCAAGGTTAAAAAGATAACGTCAAGTTCCACCCCTTCTAAAAATACAGAAAAGGTAACACTCGTCAAAGTGGAACGTGTCCCATCAAGAACAACCATCGAGGCTAAACGAAGTGAAGTCCGGCAGGAAGATGAAGAAGATGAAGACCTGAAAGCGGATAAGGTACAAAAGTCTACAGACGGTGAAAAGGAAATAGTGATAAAAGTGGAAAAGGTTTTAAAGCCTGGAAAAAAATCACCTGGCGAGAAAAAAATAAGCATGAAGGTGGAAAAGATTGGACCGTCAACCGGTGAAACAAAGTCAGAGGTTCCTGTGAAGAAGGTGGCTGAGAAGCCTGTGGTTAAATCAACGGTCAGAGATGAACCCCATATGGGAAAGATCCCAGAGAGCGTGGCGAAAAAGTCTGAGATATCCGTGGTAAAGGATGAAACACCTGAAGAGACAGAAGAGGAAGATTTAAACAGCAGTAAGAACAGTGAAAAGCACGCCGCTTTCATGGACAAGAGAAGATCCAATGATGAATCTCAAAAGACTGACGAAGAGATCGAGCTCGAGTTGGAAGGAGGACGAGATAAAGAAGAAAGGAAGGCAGAAAAGGGAAAAACAGATGAACAGAAGATCGCTCATGAATTCGATAAAGCGCTGAAAGCCGAAAGGAATCGTGAGGAAAAGAAGCCCACAACAGCCAAATCTGTAAAACCGACGACACGCAGTGAGACCATTGGAACAGCGAAGGTGCAACTAGTTGACAAAGATAATGGAAGACAAACTATTGCAGTAAAACGAGATGAAGCAGACAAAGAGCTAGCCATACTTAAGGACGAGACGGCTTCAAAGGAAGAGGACTCCAAACGAATGTTATCTGATGAAGAACTGGAGCTCGCCGAATTGGCCCAAAATGCGAAGGATAATGAAGATAAGAAAGACAAGGAAGCGGTAACAGAAAAACCCTCAATATCCACGCCAAAAGAAATTGTCAAAACGGTGAACAAGATCTCCAAGGTGACAGTAACAGTGACCAAGGAAATGAGCAAAATACCGCTGAGTGAGGAAGAAACGAAGAAAGAAGAAAAAAAGCTGACTGAAGAGTTGAAACATGAAGAGAATCAGGAGAAAGCAGCAGTAAGTATCCAACTCATAGTATATTCTCTTCTGTAATCAATTACTCTGCCGATAAATCTTTTTTACGCTGTCACATCCCAAAAGAAATAAGAGCTTCAACTTAATATTCTATATTCTTTTTGAACTGTTCATTATATATCGACGGAAGTGGGAGGGGGGGGATTTTTTGTTTTGTCACAGTAAAACTGTATAGGTGTTTCGATAATGCACCTTTAACAGGCATTAAATTTTGTAATTTTCCATTCAGGGTGTGGCAGAACATTAACAAGGAAGTAGACGTTTGCTTTGTATATTTTAAGATTCTTACACTGGAAGCTTTGATCAAGCACTGTGAAACTGCTATCATATCTCAATGCTTACTAGGCCATTTTTAAAATTTTTAGACCTTGTGTTGGCCCTTATTAGCGACTTTCGAGCTGCCAAACAACTGGAGCGAACGAGATTGGCGCTCGCACGAAAATGAGACCTCTCGCGCGCTCGCTTGGCTCGATACTCGAATTATGCGAGCTTGCTTCGCCACTTGTGCCTTGGTGCTAATGAAAGCCTACAGTTGTTCAACCCTTTCAGAAAATTAGAATGATTTGATTTGTACTTGTATATTGGGAAAAATCAGACATTTATTTTGGTTCTCTGTGTCTCATCCTCGCTTGGCTTTGTTACCTATAGGTTCGACCTGTAATTGTAAAAGTAGAGAAGCTCGTGAAAAGTCCTGATACCAAGCCAGAACAGAAGGAGAAGAAGACGGTCAGCAAAGAAGAACTACAGGAAGCAGAACTTGAAGACGAGGCAGAAGCATGAGTGCAACTTTTAATTGGCGCTTAAACTGTTTGATGAGAATTAGTATTTCGAGGGAAATGTCGGTGATAGAGTCCCTAAGAAGTAGAATATTGATATAAAAAAAGTTTTTTTTCATTTCGCATTTGAGAATATATAACCGTCAGTAATAAAAAAGCCGTAGAACCGTATTATAACTGTTCTTTAGTGCACAGAACATTTCAACGTCCTTTTAGAACTATCTTAGCAATCGTAATGAGGGCCGTTACAATTTTCTCGTTAGAAGATACTCTAACGGTGAAAATGCTCGGCAGTAATAAAGAAAAGCCGTATCAAAGATATAGTGCCTTTATTTTTTTTTGTTCAGTTTCTGGTTAATAGCATTGACAATAATCTGATCTATCAATACTGGGATCAACTCAGCGGGAATTTCCCCAAGCTTAATAAAGAGAACAGTGAGAAATTATATAAGTCGCATTAAAGCAAGCTTTTTTTTCTTTTCTTTTGTAATCGGAACTTTATTCGACAAGTTGCTTTGGAAGCCTCCGCAAAACCATAATTTAAGGAACAGTTGTTCACGCAGATTACGTTTCTACAATGCAAACTGACTAATATATTCCGTGGTACACGTTGCAAAAACGGCTCAATAACTGTGCTGAGGGCTTGGAAATATTCATCGATTAAATGAGGCTCAAATTACAGAACCTGGGCGGTAAAAATCAAATACCGATCGATTATACAAGTTGTCAGAAAAATAGTGATGTTAATTTTAGTTAAAAGCCTTCTGAGACGGCTCTTGTTTCACGAAGATCAATGCGATCAAACATAAGTAGAAATTCTTAAAGTCTTTAAACAATTCTGGAGCCAGAACGGAAAAAAGTCGCGATATTTCAAATAATATATTTCCTACGAGTACTGAAATTATTTTGAAATATAAAGCAAACTCTGAACTTGTACTGAATACCACAGTACCCGAGCTAACTTGAAGCCAAAGGACACCAAAACTAGATGCATTATACTTCTAGGTTCCGTTTGCGTGTCCACTTATTCATTATCAACACAACTAGACCCTGTGAGCAGGGTAACTGGGATACCTGGATGGTACTGGATCCTTGGAATCAAGTGTAGTGATACTACGGGTGTCGGATTAGTATACTGAAATAGTGAGCTCAAGTCTGGCTAAGGGCATACACCTATTTCAAAACATAGGTATGCTATGCATGCAAGAGTTATTTTTTGTAGGGTGGGTGGACTACTTGTGGTCTACATTCTTACAAAAGGAAAGAAGAGTATTTACGTGGAAAAGAACGAAAATGTCGAACTACCTCACACACAGGTATTTTGTGGTAGATTATGTGTGTTGTGCGAATAAATGTAACCAAAAATAGACTGTATTGGTGCCACAGATACCTGTTAGTACAAAATGCAGACAGCAGACCGGATACAAAATATAGACTGGAGACTGCAGAGTGGGTACAAAATGCAGACTGAGAATCTGAAGAGTTTTTACGTCTGGTAAATAATAACATGTCATCTTACAGCTTACCGAGCGTCACGCAATCGCTTTTCCTCGATCAGCCTTCACGATTATTTGCACTATTGTGGAAAATTCCTGGCCCATTTCTTGATGAAAATCGATCGTAATATAATTTCAAGCCTTCAATATACTCTTCTTATTTTGTGCGCGAGTTGGTTTGTGTGATGTCTGTACAGATTTTACCAACGTAATAAAAGTAGATGATGTGAATAACAGTGATGGTAAAGCAAGCTTAAAACGGCAGAAATCACCAGAAACTACAACGGATACACAGTTCGCGACTCAATCCGGTCCAAAATTACTGCTCAATAACATCTTTTAGTGTGGACTGGCCGCGAACAATACGACTTGTGTATGCGTCTGTAAGTATTTCGAGCGTTTGCGCTATAACGCTTCAGGTGATCGTAATCCAAACACGTTGAAATACAAAACGACCGACAAAAGAAAATCTCGTGCTCGTCATGTGACCCGGACCTGTCCGTGCATGACAACGTCATTCATCATCAAGATAACACGTGATCAGCATGTGAACATCTTCGCCCTCATTGGATCACAGTTAGTTGTCATGGTGTTGAGGGCCCAATGACCTCTGGGTACTATTGCGCAATTTTTCCATTTTGTGGCGGAGGAAAAAAAAAAAAAAAAAACGACCAAAAAACAAAGGCATTTTATGACTGGGCTACCACAGGTATCCCAGTAAAAAATGACAAAAAAACAAAGGCATTTTATGACTGGGCTACCACAGGTATCCCAGTAAAAATTTGAGCTTGTGTTTACTACACGCCGATGTTTCTTGTATTCTCCACTGTGACGACATCAACCAGTGGGAAAAAAGGTCACGCAATCAAGGAAAGGCTTGGTCACAAATTCAGTAGGCTTGGCCACTAAATTGAGCCTGGTTTGCAAGCTTCTTCAGGAAGTGATCCCAAAAAAATTTTCGCACGCGGCCTCAAACCCACAGGGTTGTCTGCCTGTGGCCTGTCACGTAATGCCATGTTGGTGCACATCCGAGTCACGTGCTTCAGTTATTATTATATGCAAACACGGTACAAATTTATAGTTCCTCCCAGTTTACAATCGAAAAAAATTAATTAAAAATTGCTATTCCTTCGTCTGAACCAGACCATGTCGTCTAAATTCCACTGTCCACTGGTTAAGTTAAAAAACTTGATGTAAAAGTCAGAGAGTGTTATCTATGGAAGGTCTCGACTATCGGTATCGATCCGATTTTGATAGACGGGAAACGCTTTGAGCCTGATTGCTTACAGTCGGTGGAATCGACTGATTTGCTCTGCTATTTGGTTCTCGAGACTAGCTATTAAACGCAAAAACAATTTAAAGCCTTCCGCAGTCTCGAGGCCTACAATCAAATGGTGTCGAGCTTTGTTTGCGACGTTCAAGGACAATCAGAAACGCATTTTCGTAGTCAATATGGCGGTCGGCCGCGTTTCATGGAGCTCCAGAATTTTTCGTGTAATGCCGGCTGAGTTTGCTTTTTATCTTCAACGTATCTTTTTCCCCTTTGCGAAAACGTTTACCAGTTACCCATCGTGTGTATGGTTTCGTTGCAATCACAACTCAAAATGCTGCTGCCTCAAGTAATTTTGATATCTTCGCCGCGTGTTTGACAAGACGCCATTCCATCTCTCCGATACCTCGGAAAGGGTTCACTTCTTCGAGAACTTAAAGTTTAATGGCCTCTCGACTTTTTATGCTAATGCGCGAAGCATCGTGAACAAAAGGAGCAAACTTGAAATTGACATTGCCACCTCGCGCTATGATATCATCGCTTTAACCGAAACACCTGGACAACTCTATCTCCGATGGCGAAATCCTTCCTAACAACTATCTGGTATTTAAACGGGACCGAAAGTCTAATGGACGCCATGGAGGAGATGTGCTGATCGCTGTGCGGGATCATATCAAAGCCATTCCACGTGAGTCCCTTCAGAGTGAATCTGAATTCATCTTTATTTATAATTTATTTTCCAATAATCGTAAAAATTACTTTTGGTGTCCTCTACCGACCTTCTAACAACGAAACCAAATCCCTAGAAGATTTGCAAACTGCCCCTCAAGAAATAGCTCTGGGGAATGACCTGATTGTAGTCGGAGATTTCAACCTCAGCGCGTTTGACTGGCAAAACACACGTGCACTAAATAATTCAGCAAATAACACTCTGCTGTTGGACATTGTTCGCGATAACTTTTTGACTCTGCTAGTAAATAGTCCCACGCGAGAGGAGAACATTTTGGATTTAGTTTTGGCATCCGACCCTCACATTGTTGACAATCTGACTGTTGGGGAACCTTTCTCTGATCATAATGCTATCACCTTCTCAATTTCTTGTTGTCCTTATGAGCGCCATAAGACTGGGTTTATCTACGAGAGCTGCTTCATTATCTCCCTTGGCACTATGTCTTCATAGATGGTATTAATATTATCTGGTCTGCATGGTCTGACCTGTTATTCACTGCAATTGACGAGTCTATCCCAAAGCGACAAATAAAATAACGGAAGAACGCTCCTTAGATTACTAGTGAATTGATTAAACTATGAAAAAAGAAGAAGAAGAAGCTTTAATTTTGTTTTTTCATAGTGAATAAACACGTTATGTCATGTTATGTTATCATCGCAAACAAGTTCGTGGTGTTGGCAGAAGTGCGGCACTCGCAGTGGATGAGCGATGCCTTGATTCAAATCTGGGTTATCACCGCAAAGGATGGGACATAAACTGCGTTCATTGTTTGGGATGCAAGGCTGGCCTCGCCCAATCATGTTCGCACATAGCTGGTGTGCTATTTTACCTTAAGGCTTAGACAAAGGTCAATGAAAGGCTTTCCTGTACGCAAATTCAGTGCCCTCGGGTACTTCCCAGTTTCCCAAACAAGGTGGAATACTCTCGAGTCCGCAATATTAACTTTAAATCCGCTAAGAAAGTGAAAGCCGACCTTGATGAAATGATAGAGAATCTCAGTGAGGGACTTCGGGTTTCTGAGAACTCGGAAGTCTTCACTGAAAGCCCCCACGGCGTTCAGAAACCGGAAGTGCCAGCGCCGACGCAAGCGGAAATGGAAAACTTATTTTGACCTCAGCAAATGCCAAACAAAGCCGTGTATTGCTGGGCATGGTGCCCACTGCTGATTCGACATCGAAGCAATTTTCAATAACGTTTTCTCCTGGTTCATAAAGTTTTTGCTTTTTGGACTCGATTTCTTCCCCAAGCTGCCTTTCACGTTCTCCTGCAACATGTTTCAGCTGGCAAAGTTTTTCGACAGAACCACAACTCTGATGACCTAGATGTTGGGTCGGAAACCAATCTGGATCGTAACGACTCCACAGTTCAGCCGTTTTTCCGGGGATAAAATGTTTACCACAGACCCGGCCGTGATTCAAAATGTTGTCTGTGTGGTCTTCGCTACTGATCGCAGAAATCCATTTGTTTCGCCTTCCTCGGAAAGTTTCCGTACTTCTTCTCCTCGACTAGTAATAACTGAAGGTATTCTTGCCATATTAATTCCTTTATCACGACCACTTCGGGTCGCACAGCCAAAAATCGCGCATAAAACCATTTTTTTTAATCATAAACACAGCTCGTGGTCATATGTTTACAGACAGGTGATGTGCACCAATAGGGCGGCCAATTAAAATGAAATCACGTGACTGAAACCCATGCACATGCGTAGCCATTTAAAATCTCCTGTCTGCTCGAAATGAAAACTAATTGGCAATGTTTTGATGAAAGTACTCCACACTCTACTCATAATACGAGCCATCATTAAGACCAGAATTTATGTGTAAGGTGTATAATTCACACTATGGCACGCAGTCTTGTCAAACTGAAAGCGCGTAAGAAGTTTCCATAATAAATCATCTGAGCAACGAAACAAATGTACCAGTTAGTTCCTGCATAGAAGCCAGAAGGGCACCATCATTTGGCAGAGTGATGTCTTAATCCCTTCACTTTCGTTCTATTTTGTTTGACTCTCAGACAAGCGTCGAAATGCTATAAATGTGGTGGGAACAATGAACAGTGCAGTCTGGCAATGATGCCAGATATTTCATATCTAATATTTTATTACATAGAGTGATAAGATGAGGGCAACGCGAATGAAAATATGCTTCCTTCGTTTTGATGGAGACGAAAACGCACACTTTTGAAAACGCATAAGTGTGGTCGAGGTTGATTAAAATACGCGAGTTCAGTCAATTTGTAAGTCTTGAACCCTTGTTTGGCTAATTCTAGCACAGGGAGACGTCTGGTCAAAATGGGAGCCTTGTTCTAAGACATGTGGCACTGAGACACAAATGCGGACAGTTAATCGTAGCAACATCAGGCAAAACACTCAAGTATGGCGAGACTGCATCAACAACAAAGAGATTCAAACAAGAAGATGTCACAATAGACTTTGTACAGGTATGAAACTCTAGGCAGCTTGGTACTGTAATTTTTTAAATCTTCTCTGATATTCTCACTCTCAGTTATTTCACAGTACACGAGTGTTTCCGAGAAAACAACACAGGTAGTAAAGCTTTCTTAAATACTTGGGTAGCAGGAAGTGCTGCGAGACGTTGCTACAACCCGCATGATTCCGACTGGAAGCTGGCACAAAAATATTCATTGACTAGTTCCCCACAGTGTTCCAGATTGATTCTGGTACACCATGAAGTGAAAGCAAAAACTGCTTGTGGGACTTCGTAGCTTGTCGGTGTGCTCCCTCTAGGACCACGAACCTCAGAGCCATTTTATGAAAAGTCATTATGCCCGTTCACAACAAGTAACTCATCAAAGAATTTCTGTGAATCTATGAATAGTGGCAGAACATACAAGTGCGGAAACCGAAGCTCTAAGTTTCGATTCCTCAAGGGGACTCAAGTGGTAGAAGTGTTCTGTCATCCGAACATCGGCTTAGAATCATATGTAAAAACAATGGCTTTGAACTTCAGGTTCCAGGGTATTCAACACCGTTCGGCGAACGGTGTTCCATACAACGATGCAGTTTGTAATCAAGAATTAATTGTCAGTGGTGCGATCGTCCGGTTTACCGAGGAGACAGAGTGCGATCGCACATTCAATCTTTATAACCTTGTGTCTTCCGTTTTTGCAAACCTCGCCAGATGATCAAAGTGTGGGATGGGCATTCAGCTAAAGTATGCAAATGATTTCCCTTCTCAGCATAAAGATTTCACAAAAATTCCCTTTTATTTAATTCGTTTTTTCAGGCTTTGCTTTGAAGTGTTTCCGGTGCAAGGGCTTAGAACAGTACTGCCTACAAGAAAAGCTCCAGCGCAACCGAACCCAAGACGCTTGCAATTCTAAATTATGCCTTTAGTGCTATGATTGTTTGGACCTACCACGAAGATCAAAGACACCAAAGGTCAAGCAAAGGTCAGCAAAGGATGGAAAAAAAAAAAACAGAAAACAATGTCACGGCTGCCACGGTTTATTGATCTTTGTTAAGACTCCTAAGACTCTATTTACTCTGAATAACTGGTATCTATCTAGGTCAAAGAGCGGTACCCTTCTAGGTCAAAGAGCGTTCACTTGTCACGGATATCTTGTACAATAGCAAATCACGCATCTCAATGTCATGTCCGGTCCCGCGTCACGCCGATAATTTGGGTTCAATCATGCGTCACCGTGCAAATTTTGGGGCCATCACGCGTCACGCAAAAAACCCTTTCCCACCCTCTGTAACTACTCTCTCTGGGAGAAGATGAAACATTCTGCCTAACAGTAGATCTGTTCTTTTTACAGGGTTTTCCCTCACGCGTTTTACAAGATGCCTGGGAATCGCTAAGTTCGATTTCCGTCGTTGTCTCGTGTCCGATCTTCGCTCCTCCCTGAGAAGTCCTTCTTTATCATAACTGTGGTACATTCGTTAATGATCATGTAATCGCTGGCTTTTATACCAATGTCTAAAGCCTCTGTCGCCACCACCGTGACTCGTCTGTAAATAGTAGGCCTTGTTTTCTTCCAGCTTGCTCTTCAAACAGCTGTCTCAGTCTTCCCCCGTGCAGAGGTAACATTGTATGGCAATAACTAAACAGCAGCAAGAAAAATTGAAAGATAAGTTGATCCGTATTCCGCCTGAGTAGAAATGCAATCCTTAAAACAGCTTAAAATATTAATTTCAAAAATGACGATGCTTCGTCAACATCGACTAATGTTTAGAGCTCCGTGAGCATCCCGTTATTCGGCCTAACCTCTGAAATATGTTGCCCGCGTAGAATGGTTTAAGAGGTCTGTTCTAGATCATGTGGAACGGTTCATTCGGCTGACGAAAACGGAGGTTCTGAAACTGACGGACGTCACGGTGTTGGATCTAGTCTACCCTGCGCACCAACTAAGACGAAAGCGATATGGCCGACAGACGCATTGCGTTTGTTTCACTGCTACTTGAGCTTCTTGAAACAGCATTGCGGCATGTTTTTGAATGTTACATATGCAAGGCGATTATGCAAAAAGAATACGCAAGATAATCAGGCCTATTTCATTGCCATTGTCCAAAAAAATAGGCATCAAGCGATAAAATGGCTGTTGATAAGCAAGGCCTTGACGGTTTTGAGTTATACCAGGACGTACGAGTGCATTTAGGACAACTTTGGTTACCAAATATCATTCCGGAAGCATGGAGGAAGAATTTTAGAGTGAGTCGAGGATTTGTCTACAATTTGGCAGAAGATACTGAGGTGAATGCACGTGCTCCAATTACTGTACCGTTTTTTGCCAATGACAATGTTTTTGTGTGGAAGAGCAAAAACGATTCAAACACAAAATCAAAGGGCTCTTCGAGCCAGCTCATTCATGTTATGGCTTAAGTTTGCATTGAGTTATTGGACTTGCTGAATATAGGTACAGTTGAATTTGGTTTATGTGAACTTTCAAGACTTTTGGAATAAATTTTCTTTTATTTTCGGGCAGTTGTGTGATAAGAAAACTTGTGCATTCGTCGTGATGGGAATTGGAAAAAAGGTTGTGTGAGCTGGAGGTGGGATAGGCAGAGGTCATTAGGCAGATAGTGTCCTTTTTGTTGGTGTGTGTGTTTGTGGGGCAGAGGGTGGGCTGGGTAGGCATAATCAGACATCAAATGTTGCTCTAGTAGCAATATATTAGTAACCCTCATCTTTCACGATCATTTGCACCATTGTGAAATATTCCTTGCCCGTTTCTTGATATCTTTTGTTTTAAACAAAGTAGCCATTGCATTTGATTTTTAACAAAGCGGCCACAATCGTTCTAAATAGAATTTCAAGCCTACATATTATCTGATTTTCACAGATTAATATTTGCGTAGTCACCAAACTGATGAGAGATAAAACCACCAGTAACGTATACAAATGACCAGTCACGAAAGAATCGAAACGCTTCGCTTTTCCCTTTAAAAATTCGCCGGTTCCTCATGTAAGCCAATAACAATATAAGGCACATATGTGAAAATCAGTGTGTGTACACCGCTGAACGTTGAAAATATATCAAGTCGAAGGAACAGTTTTGGTCTCGGTTCGCATGGCCAGAAATCCGTGACAGCATGGCCGTCACGCACGCTCATCGATGTCGAGCTCGGTCTTAGGTTACAAACGAGTCGCAAAATCACTACAAGGAAAACAGTGCACTTTCAGCTAACCTTCTTTTAATAATTGCTCCTGTGTTACAACCGCCAGAGGAGACAAGTTCTTCCAGATCGCAAAATACCAGGGAAAACCTCTTTCAACTGTGAAAAATAAGTTCAGGACCTTGAAAACTTTTATTTCACGAGCCGAAGCTGCTCTCTGGTTCTGCTCTTCCTTTGGTGTTGAACTACTAGGGTTAACTGTCAAAGAATCAGACAGTGATGTGGTTCACAACATAACAAGTAAACCCAACTGTCAAGATTTAGCCACTCAAGCAGAAGGAGAAAGAAAGTATAGTACCTTGTCCACACATGAAAAAGAGAATGTTGAAAAAATCCTTTTCTTACTAGACAAATTTTGTGTGGGGGATTCATTTTACCACGAAATTTCCATGATCACTGATAGTCTACCAAGGTCCTACTTGGTCAAACAATGCCGTGATGAACTGAACAAAATGTGCAAAATTGAACCACTAAATGCTAAGTTTGAAGGGGCCAAAGTAACTTCCGCTGAAACAGTGTTTAAAATACATATCTCTGATTTCCTGAAGCAAAACAAAACAGTGACTTTGACCCCATTACTGATAAAATCAAAATCAAATTCAATGGTGATGGTGCCAGAATGACGAGAAATTCAAATTTTATTTTACTTTCATTTTCCATTCTGCAAAAAGAGGAGTCCGTAATGTCTGCAAAAGGAAACAGAACTCTTGGTATAGTCAATGGAACCGAGAGTTACCACACAATAAAAGAGTCATTCCAGAGTTTATTCAATGAGGTAAATGACTTGACTGCCAAAGGTAAAATGAATGTGGATGGCCAAGAGATTCAAACTGAATTATATCTTGGTGGTGATTATAAATTTATTTTACTGATGCTTGGACTGAAGGGGGCAACATCTAATTATGCTTGTGCCTGGTGTAAAACACACAAAAAATGATCGCTGGAGAATCAACAATGACTATACAAGTTATAATACTCCCCCCTTAGCAAGAACACTGAAAGAAATGTTTGAAATGTCTAAAAAATCTAGAGATAATTACTGTTGTGATAAACAACCTATACTAAATATACCACTGGATCGTATAGTGGTAGACGAGCTGCACTTAATGCTGAGAATCACAGATATTTTGATTGGAAATCTAGTGCAGGAGTGCCTTGACTGGGATAAAGATGATGACTTAGACCATAAAAAGGGGGCAGCAACAGGGTTACACCTAAAAAGCCTTATTAGGGTAATCAAATCTTGTGGTGTTTCTTTTGATATGTGGGAACAAAGAAATGCAGATGGAAAAGGTAGCGGGAAACATGACTAGACAAGTCTCCTTGGAAAATACAAAAAGATCCTTTTAGCTGACCTTCCCAGTAAGCTACATAGCATTCTCCACCCAGAAACAGCATCAACTGTGATTGCAGTCTGGACAGAGTTTGCAGAAATTTAAAAAGTTGTCAATGACTGGAACCCTGAGAAAGACCCCACAGAATTTTTCATGAAAGCCAAAGAGTGGATTTCTCTTTTTGTCAGTCTAAATGGCAAAAGAGAAAATATGGAATATTTAGTATTCTGGGAGCATAAAATGGCTTTAGTTACTCTAAGGGGGGACTCCCTTACACATTCAAAATTATAGTTCGTGTTGTGTGATCGTCCGGGTGAGTGTAGTACTGAAAAGAACTGTTGTTGGTGACTGACGTTTCGACTATCTGTGCGGTAGTCATCTTCAGAGTCAAGTGAGGAGTAGATGTCAGTCGATGATGTTATAAAATCTGGTCTGTTGAACGTGATTGGTCTGTTTAGCCGTGATGTGATTGGCTGGAAGACTACCGCACAGATAGTCGAAACGTCAGTCACCAACAACAGTTCTTTTCAGAACTACACTCACCCGGACGATCACACTACACGAACTACTGATACTCCTGGGTTCAAACCATTTACTTTACTATTCAAAATTATATCAACAAACTCACATGAAAAGCTACATGACAAGCAAAGAGTGCAGTGAAAACACATCAACTCAACAAAATTATAATTAACTTTGTAAATAAAAGCAATTTCAAGCAAATTCATACTGTGGATTAAGCCTAGGGTTATTAGATAGGGGCCAGGTATATTTTGTACATTCAACTCACTTGTTGGTCATATTCTTAGCAGCTTTTGCATTCAAGTGGAACCCCTTACAGTCCCTAAAGTTATTACAGTTAATTTCAATTTCAGTTTCTGTTTATAATACCTATGATTGAATAGTTACAGGTTGGCAACTGAAATCGATTGATAGTTTCTCAATTAACATTCTCTGATCTTCTTGAATTTTCCCATTTATAACAGAATATGTTTTTGGTGATTTTGCTTAAAACAATCTAATTTTAAATGGATATTTAACCCTTACCCCATTCCCATTACAATCAATAACCCTATCCCAGTTTTCCAGTAAATCACATTTTTTAAAATCATCCTTATCTAACAAAGTATATCCCTTCTCCCTTCCCTCCCTTCCTTTACCATAAAACAAAAAACCAAAACAATCATGATCAAAGTCCAAAATAGCATTAGACCTTGATTTACTTCTTAATTTAAAGAGGACTGATAATTTCAGGTTATCGACGTTTCGAGTTAGCCTCTCTTTATCAACAATTGGCTTGTCATAAGTTCTGTAAGAAAAATAATGAAAATGGAAACATTGTAAGAGGGGTTGTCTATGAACAAGTAATACTGAAAGCAATGCAAAGGCAGAAGAAAAAGAAAAGCAGCAATTACTACGTGTATTATTGGTGAAAAAAAAAAGTTAAGTATAAACCTTTCCATGAATGAGCTTATACGAGTGCATCTCTCTTGTTAATTCCGTATTTCAGCATGTTCAATTGTAATGGTAATTTAAGTACAGTTTGAAAAAATGATACAACAATAAATACCTAATAAGATCGGTAGTCAAGTTATCTTCATCTTTCCAACTATTATGAAACGCGCTGTATCCCTTCCATTTCACCAAATATTGAACCTGAAGATTTTAATTATAAAACTTTAGCATGTAAGAAAATTAATGACATACATCGTAGACCAGGGCAAATTGTGAACTCACCGTTCCATGTGATGTCCTCCTCGAGATTAACCTTTCCACTTTTTTTTTTCTTAACCTTTCCTTTTTCTACTTTTTTTTTCATCCCAAAGAAGGTCCGCAGAAGAAACATTGTGTAATTGAAGAAATAAACCGCGGCTATTCTTGCTCGAATCCCTTACACCGCTCGCCATAATTTGCTGTATGTAATCTGATGCAAAAACGCATGCGTAGTAGGAATTTTTTTTGGATATACAAGCCCCCGTTTCAAACCGCTGATTGTCACAGATTTCTGGCCGTGAGTTTTGTCAACAAAATGAACACATATCGGTTACAAAGATAAAACGAATGGACCACGTGCAAAGCTGTCAATTTTTTCTCGAATACTGCGCGTTTTAAAAATATTCGATAGTGGCATCTCATTTACATCTACATCTACTTTTATTTATTTATTTATTTATTTATTTAACAACTTTATTGGGTACGTCTACAAGCTCAAAATGAATGCATATACAAGGAAAGAGACAAAAAAATGGATAGACATACGCCAAAAGGGTCAGTGCGAACGGGACATGGAGTCCCATGCGGGGCACTACCCTTAATAAAAAAAAAAAAAAAAAAAAAAAAAAAAAATGAAAAATGTAAAAACGTACGGTGAAAAAGTGCTAGATAACTAAAAATCAATGACAGGGACACGACCTAACAATTGACCACGTGCATGGACTATTAACAAAAAAACTGAACGGACAAGAGAGAACATGTGTTTAGCTACAAAAGTTTGAAAGGCGGTCGGGTTAGAAAACTTGGACGGGGTGATAAGGTACATACGGAGTTCAGAGTTTAACAGTTCGGTTGAAATAGGAGGCCTGAAAGGTACTTGTTTTACACGAAGGTGTTGTGAGATTGAAGGAATTACTTCGTCTGGTGCGGCCGTGGGAAATAAAAGAAACAAAGTTAAGGATGTTTAGATCCGTGTAGTTATTCAGACATTTGTAAAGAAACACAAGGTCCTTAAGTTCGCGGTCGTAGGCGAGAGGGAGCAAATTCAGCTTGATAAGCCTGTCTCGGTAGCTCATTTCCCCAATTCTGGTGCCTAGAATCCATCTTGTTGCACGTCTTTGTACTCTTTCAAGCTGACTTTTGAGACTGAATTGGGCTGGGGACCACACTTACGTTGCATAGCACAGTTGTGACTTTACCAAAGCCAGATAGAGGGACCGCCTGACTGAAACATCGGTCAGAAAAGGGCATGTACGCTTTAGAAGCCCAAGTAGCTTGTTGGCTTTTGCGATGATGGTATGGACATGTGAATCCCATGAAAGGGAGCTAGTCACAATAACTCCGACATCCTTCTCACTTGTGACCCGCTCAAGTTGTACATGATTGAGTTTGTAGCCGTAGATAAATGGCATTTTTTTTTTGCGAGTTACTGAGAGGACTTTGCATTTTGATGACTTAAAGCGAATGTTATTTCGCATGGCCCATGCGTTCATGTTGGTTAAGGTGTTCTGCAGAGATATGCAGTCCTCAACACCTTTGATGCTGCGATATGCCTTGGTGTCGTCGGCATATAATGCGGCCATCGCACCTCCTACAGTTGCATCAGGCAGGTCGTTTATAAAGATCGTGAAGAGCAGGGGTCCTAACAGACTCCCCTGAGGGACACCGGAAGTGACTGGTGCCCATTGCGAGACAGCACCATCAACAACTACACGTTGGACGCGCTCGTTTAGATAGTCTGAAAACCAGGCTAGTAGCTGCCCCGAAACGCCGTAGGCCCTTAACTTAGACAGGAGAATACAATGGTTCACCGTGTCAAACGCTTTAGCGAGATCCAAATAGATCACGTCCGTCTGTACATTTTTATCCAGGTACTGTCCTATGGTGTGTAGAACAGACAGTAATTGTGTGACACACGATCGATTTCGTAGAAACCCGTGCTGTAAGAGGGTGATTTATTATTAAGTTGGTAAATTCTATCCAGACATCACACCAATCAGCTCGCGCGCAAAGTGAGAATACTTTATGAAGGCTTGAAACTATGTTAAGAACGATTGTGATCAAGAAACGGGCGAGGAATATTCCACAATAGTGTAAATAATCGTGAAAGATGATCGCAGAAAAGCGATTGCGTGACGCTCAGTAAGTTGTGAGATGACGTGTTATCACGTATCAGACCGAAAAAAAGGAATAAATTCTCAGTCTGCATTCTGTACCCGGTCTGCAGTCTGCATTTTGTACCTCGTCTGCATTTTGTGTCCGGTATGCAGTCTGCAGTCAGCATTTTGTACTGATCGGATTGATATTGCTGTTTTTGTTCGAGCGAGCCTCAAGTCCGGACCGAAATATTGGGGCTCGAAAAAAAATCTTAGTGGGACTATCTTGGCCGCTATGATTGATGAGTGAACTGTATGTTGAAGAACTCCCGAGGAAAAGCGCAGTGATAGAGAAATGAATACTTTATACCAACTGAAGACGAACGCAAATGCGCGGCTTACCAATATGGCTGCCTCTGATACCCTTCTGCGTGGTAACAGCGTGTGTTGAAATGAACCCGCTACGGGTCCCCTAGATGTGAACCTTTCGGCTTCTCGATTCAAGTTGCATTTTTAGAAGTTCGGAAATGTGATTTGAGGTTTCTTTTTTTTAATCAAACCATACAAACATTTTATTTCTTTCCACGTGAGTTTCTGAGCTTCATCGAAATTAATTTAGACTTTTACTAAGTGGGGAGGGGTAGGATGCGTGACAACTTCCGTCCACGGTCGACAACTTCCGTCAACATCTGCTTCACCACAATACCTTATTCATTACTTCCAGCATGAATGAGCTAAAAAGGAAAGAAACCCAATTTAACCAGGTCATGATCATTTCCGAAATTCAGATCAAGGACAATATAGTGAGTGATATTCATGGAAGTAGCGTAACTGACATGCATTCATTTGTTGCGAAGCTGTTTGGCATCAAAGTATCATTGCTGTCTACGATTATTTCAAAACGTTTAATTCAACTAAGAAGCTTACAAAACAAGGAAATTCACTCAGATCTACAAATCTACTTTTTCTCGTGCGAATAATATTGACTGTCCATCTTGTATGACATGTCTTTTGACGCTCACAGTTCTATAATCAAGCAATGCTGGGAACACGTTAGCATTTTTGGTCTGCGGTCTACTTCATTAGTGCTAGGCCCAGCACAGAAGAGACGATCAACAGGAAGAAGCTGAAGGTCACAGGCGAGCCTGCGTTACAGCCATCGCTAGTACAGCAACCAACCCCGCACTTGTAGTCCTTGATATTATCTTTAAGCTTGTCACAAAAATTTTCAGCTGTGTCACAGATTTCTTTGGTGGCGCAGTTGTTCGCCACAGCGCTCACGTCATCTTTCTTGGACCAACTCCTGGCGCACCTGTCATAGAGGGAAGAGCATTCCCGCAAATAGGTGCCTTTGTTACTTTCCAGTTTGCTCTTGCTGCAGGTATCTTCATTGCCAGAACACACATAGCATTTCAATGCACAACCTGATGACAAAGAAAAAAATATAACAGTCTTAAAAGTTACACACTGAATGACCTCGAGGAATGCTGGAAATTACTGTTTTTTGTTAATCTAATTGCATTCACAAATGCTGCCGTCTGATTGGCCAAGCCACTCGCTATCTATTCTCTGATCGATTGCGAGTGAAGTAAGTAGAACATGACGTGACCTATTTATATGATCAATCATTCAATAACAGCATGTTCATATCCCGTTGTTAGGTTTTGAACGTTTAGGAAGCGTATTCTAAGACAACTAGCTTATCATACGCCCTTAATTTCTTTGCGTGATCTAGTTCTTGCGGGCTTCCCAATCACTTGAGGCAGTAAAGCGTTTGAAACGCATCTTGCTTAGAATGAAGACCTGTATCGTGATTCGTGTAAAAACCAAACAGAAAAAAAGTCAAAAAAGTGAACGGCACCATAATAGCTATTCATTAATGTACCAGCAAAGAACATGATACTCAGTCACCTGACTTCTTTTATGAATCTTTCGCCAGAATCAACATTAAGTTTGGCATGCTTTAGTGATTTCTCTGTCTCTTTTATGCGCAACTTACGCCAAAACCGGAAAATTTCGGACATTGCATTAGCCACGATGTAAAGTACGTTTTATCTCTACGCTCATCCGAACATTGCTCGTAAAAAGCATCGAATCAATTCATTAAAAATAACAAAACTGTTATCCCAGAGACCCCGGAAATTCCAAACGTTCAAATTATTTCCTTAGCATTATTCTGAACAGACAAATCGAAAGAAAATTGTTATAAATTAGTTCAGTCACAATGGGTGCACACGAAACACTAAAGATATTGTTCCCGGTCATGGAGCCTCAACCATAAATTGCCGCAACGTTCTTTGCACCTTTAATTTTTTCCAGCTTTCTTAACTTGGTAGTCACCTTTACTAAACATAATCAAACGAAACGCTATTTCTTTAAAATATTGTGTTTTATCTCTTCTATGGCACAAAGAAGCTAATTATACCCATTTTAATGACTAAAGGGGTCATT